TGCGCAGGCTCCCTCCCGGGGGTCCGGGCCCCCCCCTTCTCCCCATGTTGAGACCAAAATTGGAAGAGGGCCGAGTGCCGTGGGGGGTTACCTCCGCGTGGCCGGATGACTTCTATCCTTGCTTCTCGTTTGCAGGTTCTTTTTTTCTTCCTCTTTGTAAGTCACTAAGGTTTGTGAGACCAACTACAGATGTCTAGCTAAAGAAACTGGAATTCCACATGAACGAATGCCCCCATGCTTTGCATATGTAGATTCTGTACTCGAAAAGGGAGTTGATGAATTTTACGTATAATTTCATTTATCTGGCTATCCGCTTTATGGTATTTGATAATCCCGTTAGTCGTAAAGTTGCCGAAGATCCACACAGTATACACATTACAGAAATAAAGAACAGAGAAATGAGTATGTTCAGTTGCAACCTAGGAACTTTCTCCAGACTTTGATCCTTTCACAGCAGCTGGAGAGCTAACGTCTGGAGCAGAATTTGGCCACAACGCATACTAACAATATTTAATTCCTTTTTTGAGACCCACCCCCCCACTCAATACAGCACAACAGATGCCGAAGCCCCTAATATCACACATTAACTTTCACTATAAGGTATACAGGACCCAGATTTCTTTAAGTACAAATTTCCAAATTTAGCAATCCACCTACAAGTTTCATAATATATGTACATATTCAAACATAGATGTCTGGATATGCTGACGGAATTATACTAATCAGTATTTTAAAGCCACCGAAAATGGTAATTTGAGTTATTTCCAATTAATAGTTTTATATTTGTGTGCATGTATAACACTTGTAATTGAATGCTAATTTACTGCCTGAACACTGATATCTATAGAAAACTCACACCACCTTTTCTTAGTAATGACGGGGTTTCTGTGGCACTACTCCACTGCTAACGCACTGCACAGTGGATCGTGTTATCTTGCATCATATGAGTTTGTTGGCCATTGCAGCAGATTTAAAACAAAACAAAACTGGGCATCAAGTGTGCACTTGATCTAAAAGGTATACAGATTTTCTAGAACAAAGTTTCCAGGTAAACTTGGTCCAGTTGATAAACTTATTTCCAGCAATCTGACATCAATATAATCTACACATTGTGCTCTCACCACCAATATTCCCCATTATTAATATCCAAATATGTACAATCTACCTAACCCCCTGCTTGTTTTGAGACATTTTCTCACTACCTAGTCCTGGCTTGCTTGGAACTTGGCAACTATTTGTGTCCACCTCTGAAGTGCTAGGATGACAGGTGTGTGCCACTATACTTGGCTGGAAGCATCCTTTCAAATATGAGCACTCAGCTAACCCTTTGCCATCACCTCAGCAGGAAAACTAACACTTTGTTACTCTATGCCCTACGATTTATTTCCTACATTCTACATATAAATATAGATTTATCTGCTTAGTTTTGGTTAGAAGGTAAAGCTGTGTCATTCCAAATATTTTTGGCCTTTAAGGAGTTTAATGACAAGGTTTCAGTTCCTCAAGCCAACCCTTGTATCCCGTCCCCTCCCCACCCCATTCAACCCTCCATCCCCCCACAATTCCAAAACCCATTGTTACTAATTCTGCCAACACACATACCTTTGCATAGTGCTGGGAGGACCACTCAGCACTGAGAGATTGGCAGTAAGTATTGCCCTGAAGGACCCAAATTTGGTTCTCGGCAGTTACGCTGGCTGGCTCACAGTCACCTCTAACTCCTGCTCCAGTGCACCTGAAGCCTTCTGCTATTCTGCTCAGCCACCTGCCCCATGTGCACACACATCCCTCCCATATACATATAATAAAGCCTCAAAAGTACAGTTTCTTACATCTTTTCCTATATCTTCCTTGCCACATCCTTTATTTTAGACAGTCTTCCTTGCCATTAGGACTCACTTGAAAGTCTATATTCATGACCCAGTCTTACCATTTCTTTTTGGGCTTCTTTTTGAATTCTAATAGCAATTATCAACCCACAACCACAGTAGACTCAGTAATCTCATGCTTGTACTGTATTTTTGCACACTTGGCTGTATTCCCTATAAACACTGAAGAGTAGAGAGAAGCTCAGGTGTTATTGACACACCAGAACTTCATTTCATAGTCTTACAGTCAGCATTATTTGAGGTATAAGGTTTTCTCATCTAGATACCTTCCCCCCAACCCCCCATGACTCCTGTCACATGACAAGGACACACAGGTTCATACCTGATGGCTATACAGTCAAGGACGAGATAGGAGCTGCTCTTGTCCCTGCCCCTTTCTTGAACTATGTGTTATCAAGTGTGTTTTATTTCTGTCACAACCTAAAACTTGCCATGGGCAGGCATAGTGCTTTCAAGCATTCCTTGTAAGATAATATCAAATAACTTTGTATATTAATTATCACTATTAATCCCATTTCATAGACAAGAACACCAAAGCAGGCTTAGCTTCTCAGGTTACATACTTGACAAACAACAGGAACTGAATTTGGGAAGACTCTCTTTAACAACTGTGCTGTTGCTGATAAAACACAGCCTCTTAAATCAGGCAGCAAACAGGTGCTTTAAACAGATACAATGGATTTCTCCACCTCCCCTGTTTTTCCAGGTACAATGTTTTAAACTTGGACCAGTAATAATCCCAGGCAGCTCATACAGAGGAAGTTTATACAATTTCTCCTCAATATTTGAAGTTCTCTATAATATTCATATATATGTATTCCAAATGCAGTCACAGAAACAGCAGTTGCCTCAAAATATTTTCAATTTATTTCAGTGATACTAATACAATGAAACTTTTTTTACTAGCAACCATACTGTAGCTAAAATAATGGATCTTGAAGTGAGCCTTGCTGGCTTTAGGTTTGTCACTCTAGAAAGTGACCTCTGAACTTTGCTTTCCTCGTGTAAAGTGAGTACAATCCTAACTTCCTCTGAGGACTGAAGAGGAACCCTAGTTCCTCAGGACCTCTACAGTGGCCGTTTTTGAACCAGAAACTACAAAAGTTATTGGATCTGAAAGCAGTACATACTAAATAATATGGGAATTCAAAGCAGGAATTTTAATTTAGTTCTTTTTCCTTCCTGCCTTGAATCAGAATTTCAAGTGAGATGCCTGGGTTCAAGTGAGATTCCTGTTTCAGCCTCTGAAAGATCAGAGGTGACACTTGAAAGTTGTTAAAATCTGAACAGAATTTCTTGAAGCTGTAGAGGGATGATGGTTGAGCACTGATAAATACAGGCAGTGTCAAAACAGCTGCCCCAAATTAACAACAACACGCTTCATGTTTAAAAGGGCCTAAGCCAGACTGAGGAGTCGACTAATTTACTTAGCAGGTACAAGGCCTTAAATTAGTTCAGCAGTGCTCCCTCAAGTGCCCCCCCCCAATCTAATCTACATGACAACTGTGCTTTTAACTTGACCTAGAATTCTTAAATTTTGAATCTATTTTCTTTCAACTATGGAGAGATGTCTTTCCAACTGTACATTCATTTTTCCCAATTTATTTATCAAAACAAGTTGCCCCAAAACATTTCTCCTTTAGTTCATCTTACAACTTTTTCCAAATTGACTATTTACATAATGGACTGTAAGCATGCAAAATCACCAGTCATAAATGATGAGGGGGAATCAATGATGTTCTGAACCTAACAGGGATGAGAAAGAAGCACAAAGTGTTCCAGAGAGAAACCGGTCACCAATCAGATCTGAAACAAACGTATCAAGGAAATTATGACTGAGGTTAACTCATAGGACTGGGATGACATGTGTAAGATCATCTTAGTGGTTACAGGAAGCAAACTGAGGACCCTTGCATTCAGAGTTTTAACTATGTAGCTCTGAAGAAACACCAACCCTAGATCACAAAGATTTGGACTTGAAGCCAGGAAACTTCCCTGGTTATATTACATAACCCACACGGCTCAACAACAGAGATTGTAAGAAGATCGTACTAGCAAACAGTGGTGTGGTATTACGATTCAAGAATTGTGTTGGGAGCTAAGAAAGGAATCTTGCAAAATTAGATAAAATATCCAGTCTGACATAAACACCATATGGTAACTGCCTTGAGACAGGAGTTGGATGCTATGTGTTAAAATTATGACACGGGAGTAAATGCTGGAAAGAAAATGCAATTTGCATTTAGTTAGTCTAAATCTTAATTTATTTTCTTAGATAACTATGGTAAGACTGTAATGGTAGCTCTTTCTTCAACCTCCGAAAACTTCACAATAAGTAAGTATAATACAAGGGTTTTGCAAATAATGGCATAGCTGGGCGTTGGTGGCACAGTCCTTTAATCCCAGCACTCGGGAGCCAGAGGCAGACGGATCTCTGTGAGTTCAAGGCCAGCCTGGTCTCCAGAGCGAGTGCCAGGATAGGCTTCAAAGCTACACAGAGAAACCCTGTCTCAAAAAAAACAAACCACCACAAAAAAAAACCAAGCAAACAAAAGCATGGTTTAAGAGATCTTCCATGGCTACACTATTTACTGAGTATTAGTTTAAAATGAAGTTTAAAGTAACAATATTTGTAGCAATTGAAAAATGACCTCAAAATTCAGTAATTTCACCAGGCAGTGGTGCTGTGTGCCTTTAATCCGAGTACTCAGGAGGCAGAGGCAGGTGGATCTCTGATTGCGAGGCCAGCCTGGTCTACAAGAGTTAGTTCCAGGACAGCCTCTAAAGCCAGAGAAACCCTGTCTCGGAAAAAAAAAAAAAAACCAAAAAAGAAAGAAAGAAAAAAGATCAGTAAGTCACCCCCCCCCCTTTATTTTTGGAGTCAGGGTTTCTCTGTGTAGCTTTGGAACCTCTCCTGGCACTCACTCTGTAGAACAGGCTGGCATCAAACTCGGAGATCACCTGCCTCTGCCTGCCAAGTGCTGGGATTAAAGCTGTGCGCTACCACTGCCTGGCAATTTTCCTTTTCTTACTAGAGGCCTAATCATTCTCAACAGGGTAATGTTTCCAGCTGTCTGTGTCACCGTAACCAACAGTGGACACCAGAATACTCAAGGAGTATTCCATACTCTATCAAATTGCTGTTGATATGTATTTAATTTTATATGTTTGGGTATTTTTGCCTGCATGTATGACTGTTCACTGGAGTGCATGGTGGTCAAGAAAACCTCAGGAGGGTGTCAGATCCCCTGGAACTGGAGTTAGATGGTTGAGAGCCACCATGTGGGTGCTAGGAATTGAACCAGGGTCCTCTGGCAGAGCAGCCAGTACTCTTAACTGCTAAGCCATCTCTCCAGCACCCAAATTACTGATTTGTGATAGGAAAATAGAAACAAATGAAACAGAAGTAATATGCTGCCTGGAATAATTTCTGAAAGCAAGCAGTGCAAATATCGGTAAGTAGTACTGAGATGACATAAACCTCTCAGCATTCAAAGTGTTTACCTCCCAAAACAAAGGCTCTATCCTCCAAAGGCAGAACAACCCCTCTCCCAAGAACACAACAAAAAAAGACCTACACGTTTTAAATACCCCTCTTTAAGAAAAGTGGCATCATTCTGCTATTCACAGCACAGTGAAAATATAACTGTTCCAAGTTTAGCTACTGAATCCATTTATTTATAGCAACCCCACTCTGTCTTGGTGGCAGAATCATAGAAATACAGTAGGCGATAGTCGTAAACTACTTTACATTGTTCTGTCATTTTAGGATGGCAGGGAACTTCACCTCAGCAAAAAGGCAACAGTGGAAGGCACTTCTATAATCACACTTCATGGGATGCTGTCACCAGTGTTTCTATTACTGACTCTCACATGAAAGAATAGGGGAATGGGAATGGGTAGAGAATAGAAAGAGGAGTGAAGAGATAAGAACCAGGAGAAAGGAAGGTAAACGTATAATTTAAATGGGAGAGGATGAAAGTGATGCCTAAGAGGAAGAACAATAGTTAGATACTCCTTTGAATGTAACAGTGCATCATCGAACAACCTGAATGAGTGCCCAAGGATGCCCTTATGAAGCCACGTCCACACTCCCACTGAGCACTTCTCTGAAGAGCCAGTGACTTACCACCACCATGTGTTTCAGAGACACAAACAGCCACTTTGGAGAACTGCTTAAAGGTAATTGGGAGGCAGACTCTCAGCTCCTCACTGCAAGATTGTAAAGAGTCTCAACAGTCACAGAGCACTAACTCGGCTCACTTGCTTTGCTTTCTGAGCAAGGGCCTCCTTGTGTCATCCTGGCTGCCCCAGAAGTCTTGTGTGAAACCCCCACCCCCACCCCTGGCCTCTGCCTCTTCAGTGCTGGCCTTACAGGTATGAGCCCCTACACCCACCCAGCTTATTCACTAGGCTCTCCAAAACCAAAACTGCTTATACAGTAAAAATGACTGGATTTAATTCAACTCTTCTAAAATGATTGGCATGTAAATTAAGAAATAATGTCAACTTTCTTTCCCATTTACAAAAACATTAAAATGAAAGCACCGCTCTACTCTCCAGACATACAAAATTTTAATTCAAATGACCATGAAGTATTAAAACTATTCATCCACTATATGTAAGTCAGTCATACAACATGCCATGTAATGCCTGTGCTGCTCACAGATAATTTTTAAAAAGAACATTCAGTCTAATAAAAACAGCCTTGTAGCCCTAAGCACTGCAAATTGTAATACTTTTGACAATTCAGGGTATCTTCAAAATGCCAAATCTACTAAGTGGGGGCATTCTAGGCTATTAGTAGTGCTTTTCAAGAGACCATTCTTGTCTATCTCTGTGGTAGTTTTCTAGAGAAATCTATAACCCACAGTAACCTGAACCCAGGCACCAATCTATTTTGGGTCTTGATTTCCAGTTACGTTCATTGGAGATCACAGGCAGGTATTTCCTGAAAGTGTCCTCCTCTTTAGTGGCACTTAGCCACATGGATTATCTACATTTGAGAAGTGTACACAACAGCGCCTTTTCTTGACATGACAGTCACAAGCAATTCGTTAAACGGATGCATTTCTGATGTTTTCCAGCACCTTTCAATAGTGTATGCTTATCTACTCTCGGTTTCTTAGCTAACCATTGACCAGACACTTACATAGGACTAGTTGGTACCAAATTGACAACAAACACAACATTCTTAATATTGTAAAAGAAAAGACAAATGATTGTTATTGGCTGCTACTTAAAGTGAATGTTATTCACTAGGATAACAAACTAAATTGTACACTGTTTTCTTCTGATGTTCTTTATAACTTTAAAGAATGCAGCAGGTGTTCACTCAAAAACCATATTGGGGGAAACAGGTGACAACATAAATGTTAAAAAGATAAGTTAAAAGCATTTCCTTTTTAGTCAGACTTAACAATTTTTTTTCTTGGCACATAAGTCTTTTAATAAATGTTATATAAAATGCATATAGTAAAACTAACAAAACTTTTAAAGTTAATCATAAAGAAATAAGACCACAAAATTGCCCTTTCTTCCTTAGTAGTGGTTGCATTACTAGAATCCAAAAGGTGATCTATGCAAGTAAACAATTACATTAAAACCTCTATGATCATCCCGTTGTTGGCACAGCCTTCATTCAGCAGTCTCTAATAGAGATGGTCGGTGGTAAAAACTCTGAGATTTAAAACTCATGGCACTGGGGTTGGTTAGGGAGGGGGGGCAGTGATGGAGACTGAACCTAGTGCTTCATGGTTTGACTCTAGTAACTCCAAGAAGCCCAGTTCTTGTAGTGACTTGCAGAGCAAGGACAGTGTCTTGATCATTGTCCGGGACCAGCACATATCAGAAAATGTAGCTGAGAAGAATGTGTGGCCCAGAGGCATTCATAACAGTAGTGCCTCCTTTGGAGTTCAGAGAATCTGGGGGAGAAGCCTGTCAATTAGTCCACTGAGGGAGTGTCCCACTTGCTTGACATTGGGACTGTCATTAAAAATGTGTTGAGTGTCAATGTACAGTAATGTGTTTTGACCCATACAGTATGACATTGGCATTGAAGCTAATAATGTATTAGTTCAAGTTCATGACTGTATGCTGAAGACCCTGACTTACAGATAACCTTCATCGGAGATTAATCATTCAGATTGCAATTGATCTGCTATGAGGACACACTTTATATAAACTCATGGCAATATTTTGAAAATGTCACCCTTGTTATTTTGATACTTTATCCGTGATATCCCTATGTTTAAATCCACAAGTAAATATATCAAAATATAAAAAATACACGGCTTGAGTCATTTTTTTTTACACCTTTAAGAAAACACTGATAGCACAGTCTATGAAATGCCATGTTTTACCTTAACCTTAGACGAAATAATAAAATAGAAATTCATTGGTTCATGTGAATAAAAATAATATTCTTCAAAATAGGCCTTACCATACGTATACATGATATAGTGCAAATTAAATCATTACATAATTAAAATAGCCTCAAAATTGCATAACACTGATTACTCAACTTAAATGTCTCTTTATAGTTTTATGATTATTCTGGAGAGCCCAAAATTTATAAATCTTGTTAAAGTCAAAAGCTTCCTAGTACACTAAAATATCAGCCCCATTATCATTTCTTATTAATAGCAATGTTTTCGTCATTTTTCATGTTTTCAGCATCTGTGAAATAAAATTTTAACTTGGAAGAAATATTACAACAGTGTAATTAAACAAAAAGTACATCGAGACAGGTCATGTACTCTGTCACAGCAGGAGTGCCTCACTCTACCACAGTAAGCTCGCTGCACTGGAAATACTGGCTGCCTCTGCTGGATCACTTGCCCTTGACATGCGTTTTATCACTGTGGGTTAACACTTGCCCGTGCCACCTGGTTTATACTGTGTGTTAGCCCAGTGCTGTTTCTTCTTAAAAAGAATTCAGAAAGGGAAACGCAGAAATGAACAAGACCTCACAGGCAAAGTTTCATGAAATCTCAAGTCATCTTGCCTTAATCATTCAAAGACAGTGACAAATGTCATAGGAAAAGTCAGCAGAAATATAAAATATGAAAAGTCTTTAAAATTCAGACAGCAAATACAAAAAACGGACACATGACAGCTTAGAGAGGCTTAAAGAAATGAGGTATGATTTGGGTCATCGTGCTACAATGTATCTCAGCATATTACGTTACAACCTGTGTTTCCAAGGTGCAAAGTCAGCAGATCCTAACACCTGCTTCTTCCCATGATCCTCTGGACACTAACAACGGACGTAAAAAGCATGAGCTAACTGTGTGGTTACACAATAAGCTTATCTGCCCCATAAGAAGGCAAATCAGAAGTAAAAATGTAAGCAAACAATTTTGTATTAATAATAAATACAGCTTCAAGCATTTAACATCAATATTTTAAAATTTTAAATAAATGCAACTATTTTATACAGAACTGTACCATTTATTATACACACAGTATATCAGTTCCCTTTGTGTTCACAAAGGCTGGCTGTAGATAATATGGAATGTTACAGTACCACCTTGCATAAAACTTTAGTACAATTCTGTACTTGAAAAAGGGTGCAAAACACCAGCCTTAAAAATCTGAATGGAAATCTCTTCTTGCTTTTTAAAAAGCACATCATTGACAGACACACCACACACTGTACATAAGCTCACTTGTAAATCACCAACTGAAGATATGGTAGCAGGTATGATGTCGAGCTCACTATCCCTCCCATTGCTATCACCATTACAAGGCTCTGATTCCTCCAGGAGCCTTGGTTGACATGTATGCTTCTATATGAATTACTGAACCCAGGTAATTACACTTTAATTTAAAGAAGGCAAACAAGAGCTGCCGAGAATGACTTCAGTAAGGAGCGTCCTTCCATAAAGGACTTGGGATGCAGTCTTCTTCTGTCTGCATGACTAGCTGGTCACGACTCTCCGTTTTGAACTTTGGATGCTGGTGGCTGCATGAAATCCTTAAAGGGAACCAGTGCCTCCTTAAGAGCACAACAGACTTCTGAGGATGAGCACGTGATACATTCTACCAAAGTCGGATATAAGGCAATTACCTGTGCCCAGGTATTTCCATCAACTGTAATAAAAAAGGAATAAACATCTCAACAGCAGTCACCCAATTCATAGACACAATTAAAACACTGTAACAGAAATGCTTCTGCAAGCATCTTTTAATTTTTAAGTTTGTAAGATTCCCTGATATAGCAAGAGTGTGGAAAATAAGAGGTGAGACAGTATTGTGGACTTAGAAATTAGGTAAGAAAGTAGATAAGGGGCTGGAGAGATGGCTTCATGGTTAAGGGCACTGACTGCTCTTGCAGAGGCCCAGGGTTTGGTTCTTGGCTGCTAATAGCCATTTCTAACTTCAGCACCAGGGGAATCCAATACCTTCTTCTGGCCTCCTCAGGCACATACATACATGCAGACAAAACACTCACATAAAACAAAAATAAGTGAAACTTTAAAAAGAGAAATGATCAGTGAGTACAGACTCATCAATACCAACAAACTGAAAAAAGCATATTCTGAACGATGCTTCAATTTGTAAAAACTTTGGGATTAATTTGTTATACTGTTAACTTCCAATCACTATTTTCTGTATAGTTAGTTGCATGTCAAGAACAATTACAAAACATTTTTCTTCCATTGACTACTCAAATACCGATTATAACTTCAAAACAATGCACAGGCATTGTCGTCTTCTCACGGTGCTTGCTAACCTATAATGTGCATTACTGACCGGGACAGAGTGGAGTCTGCTTTCCTCATCACGTCTACCAAGTGGATGCTTCTCATCAGTGGGCAAGAGTGATCCAGCTTATCCAACAAGCTACTTACACTGCAATCACATGTGACATTTATGTTCTGCTGTTGGCTAGATTTTCCCCAGTACTGGGGACTTGCACACGTGAACAAGTGTTGTACCATTAAATTTTTTCATCTTTTAGTATGAGACAGTGTCTCACCAAGTTACCCAGGCTGGCTCCTCCACCTTATTCTATGGCAAGTACTTAGTGTTCAATCTTCGCATAAAACCTGCTGACATGTATCATTTTGTTGCATGAAGCAAGTCTCCAGTCTTGAAGAATACTGTAAAATACTATGAAAATGAACAAGCACCTCCCTTATGGGGAGGGGGGAAGACTGAGTCTTAAAACAGGGTTTCCCTGTGTAGCCCTGGCTGTCCTGGAACTAGCTATGTAGACCAGGCTGGCCTCAAATTCAGAGATTCACTTGCCTGTGCCTCCTGAGTGCTGGGATTAAAGGTGTGGGTCACCAAACTTGGCTCAACACACTTTTTATAATTATTCTGTCCTTTATTGGTGTCAACATTTTCCCCCTGAAATAAGACAGTGCTTGGTACCCTGGTCAAGTCAGTATCAAATTAAAAATCCACTTCAAAGTTCAGAGCATAATTCCAACTTTAAAATGTCTTAAACTGTGCACATGTGTGTGCATGCACACATGGATGTGTAGAGGCCAGAGAGCAACTCGGATGTTCTTCGGGCACCATTCACTTAAGATAATCTGTAAAGTTTTGTTTGCTTGCTTTATGGTTGTGTCTGATACACACGCCTGTGTAAGGACACACGGCATTGTGCAGCCAGCTCTCTTCTACTTTATCTGGGTTCTGTAGCTAAACTCAGGTTATCAGGCTAGGCCATCTTTCGGGACTCCCACACTTTTTAAAACTAGGTCATTTAAATAAAGACCAAACATTGCAAATGAATTCTACTGAACTGACATTGTAATGGACTTGAGTTTTGTCATCACAAGACCTGGAGGACGGAAAGCAGAGTGGTGGTCTCATTCCAAAGTGCAGCTGACTTAGCAACAATACAAAGCACACGAATGGGAAGGTATCTATGCATGTCTCGCAGAACAACCAAGTTGCCAGCACTTACCATTCTCAGGCTGAGTTTTCTTAAGTGAATCAATGAGAGTACTGACTGCTTTTAAAACAAATATGATTTCTGTTACTTGTTGCCTAAAATAGACAAGAAATGATTTCTCTTAGAATTTTAAAGGATATACTGTATATTTCTTCCCCACAAAGTTTATACGAATAGATGTATTTTGGAAAAATATTGAATACAATAAAAGATAATGTTAAATTCTTATAAAAAGGAAAATCATCAAATACATATTAAGAATAAATACATATAAATACCTGTAATCCCAGATACAAATCTGATTTGTAGTTACTCTTCTAAAAATGATCAATGAAAGGGGAGGGAGGAAGTCAACTCTTGAAAAATCTACATTTATAAGACAGCCTGTGCAACTATTTACAATTAAAATACTTTATAACACATGCTTTAAAAACTTCTCTACAATACGACTTGTTTTCTAGCTAGTAGTAATAGAAATTTACCAAAGATTACATGATAAAGATACTTTTAATATCTGATACATATTTTATAAAGCTGGTAAAAGTATACTCAAAATTATAATGATACTCAAGTGTTTTTCACTTTTTTATGGATATTTTTATAAGACAACATGAAACATGCCAGAAATTAGTTCTGAGATGGCCTATATAGTGACATTTAACAATACAGAATGAGCACATAATAAGCATAAAGGGTCAAAAACAATATCATGGATCTTCCCTTTCCACAACAGGAATGGCTGTTTTGCTCTATGGTCCCTTCTACTACAGGTCACATCTGTAGTCCCACAGACAGCCAGGCCTTCTCAGTACTGGACAGGGCACTACTTCAAGTCTGCCTTTTCTTTTTAATTTGAGACGGGATTCCCCAGTCTGATATTAAACCTGTAACTGAAGACAGCCTTGAAATTCTGATCCTGCTGCCTCAATTTCTTGACTGCTGAGATTAGAGGCCTCATTATTAGGCCCTATTTATGTAGTTTTGGGAATTGAACCATGTCAAGTACTCAACCAACTAACTGAACTACATCCCTGGACATCATTCTTTGCAAGTAGCTGGATGTTGAAATGTTCCATTTAGAAAACACATAATACTGCAACACAGACTGAAACAACTCCATCAGATGACTATAAACAGCTCAACTAGAGACAGCAGGTAGAGGGAGAGGGCTCAGTGGTTTAGAAGTAGATTGCTCTTGAGAGGAGCCGAGTGATTCTGAGCAGTCACTTCAGATGGCTCACAACTGCCTACAGCTCTAGCTTCAGGAGATTAGACATCTCTGTGCACAGGGACGGGCACTAATGCCCACATACTGGCACATAAATAATAACAAAAATAAAATGAAAAAAACAATACTGAGCTGGTTAAATATTCAACACAGAAAATGAAGGAAAGCTACTTTCCCAACTAATATTATGATCTAATGTAATGTTGCTCAGAGCAGGTTTGTCTCCACACTTCCATACACAGATCAGGAACCAACTTTAATTCACCAATTTTTAATCATGTCCATAATCAAATTAGTAGCAAGCTGTCGATGGAATGTCTTTTGTGTATACGTTTGAAGGAAGAAACCTATAATTTATGATCTAGATTTTAAATTTCAAGATGGTCAATGGGTAATAAATATCGGTCATTTTAAAAAATGTGATTTTTGTGACATTTCATTCATCAAATTAGAAAACTGTAAAACAAACACTAGGATTTTAAAATGCTAGAGGCTGAGGAAAAGACATTTATATACTCCTGGGGAAATCTAAACTGGTATGAAGCTGTTGTAGGCAATTTTGATAAATGACATTTGAACACTTAAAAAGGAAATCTGTATCCTTTGTCAGGTAAGGTCCAACTCCAGAGACTGATAAAGAAACAGGAGTGCTCTGGAGACTTAGGGACTTGTGGCAGAGGTGTGCCTCTGCACCCATACCCAATCACATAGCGGGCGCCTGACTTTTCCCTAACTTGGGGACCTCTGTCCACTTATATTTCCTGTTTGCTTTGACTTAAACTTGTTTTAACATTAAAAACATTGCTTATATCCTTTGCCGAATTCTCTCTATCAAGCTGGATATACAAGAAGGGATAAGCTCAGGGCAAAGGGCTTTGTTAGGCAGATTAGAAGACACTGAGATTTTAGAGAGGGCCAGGTGACAGATATCAAGAAGTGACAATCCGAGACAACCCTGAGAAGTGATTTAATCTTCCTCTTTAGAGAAAGAGATTGTGTTTTCATGCAAATCCTCCAGTCCTTACACAGAAACCTCTCATCTATTTTCAGATTCATTTTTTTTTCCAGGTTCAAAAAGTAATTTGATACACGTATCACATTTCTTAATCTCCAAGAGAGGCCTTGAAATAACATCATAATAATAATAATTAAAAAAAACTACCTTACATAGATGCAACAAAGCCTATGAATATTTACACTGTAAAGGATGAACTCGGTTATCAACCACCTCAGGTCGTCCAGCTCACTTAGGAAATCTGGTTTTCCAGCCGTCTTTGTTACTAATTATGATACCGGTGTATTTCCATCTTTATTAACCATATACCTTGGCAGAGGGCACTTTCCACTTAGCCTTTCATCCTCTATGTAGCGATGCAGGACATCCTGAGACCTCTTTAAGAGCACAGACAGCGCCATTCGTGAGATGTAGCCTTCTTGGGGTGTGGTGACTTTGTTACTGAAGGAAAACTGCAGCAACGTTTCAAAACACATTTTAGAAAATTCTTCTCTCAAACGGATGTCAATCTCTGCTTCTGTGAAATGAACAGTATTTGATTGTTAATAAAATGCTAAAACAATGCATGCTAATAAGGAGTCTAGCAAGCTAGGAATAGAAATATGCCCTCAGAAAGATAAAAAGAATTGAACAACTTATAGTTAATAATAGTGAAAAACCAACAATTTTCCCTCCTGGAATGTGAAAAATAAGGCTGTCTATAATCAACATTTTCTTTCTTGATTTTACTTTACTGTGTGTGTTTACACACACCATAGTGTTCACACACAAGTTAGACAACTTGTATGTGTCACTTCTCTTACCATGTGGGTTCTGGTGATTGAATTCTGGTCATCGGGGGAGAAGAATGTTGGCCCCAACAGTTTGCTTACTTTTTTACCTTTTGAAAATACTGTAAAATGAGTTGCAAGGGCAAGGAATGTCCCTAGTACCACATAAAGTGGACATGGAGGCATATATCTGTAACCCCAGCAGGAGAATGAAGTTCAAGGTCATTCTAGTTTAAGTAAAAGTTTGAAGCCAGACATTTGAACTTATATATTTTTCGAGGCCAGCTTGGGGTACCTGGAACCCCTTAACAACAAAACCTCACCAAACTTTTCAAGAGCTTACTATAAATCAAAAGTCAAAATGAATTGCCTTTTCTGTCTTTTATTATCTTTTCTCCTTCCCTAGCAAACGATTTTTCTGGAACATGACCTGCTCTGGTCTAGACTAGTTCTCCTCTAACCATGCTCTCTAGCCTTAGCCCGAAAGCAGTCTTTAGCCAGCACCATGGTCCCTCATGCTGCACTTCCTTCCATTTTCTTGGTTTACTCTGCTTTTCATGAAGATATTCTGCAGTGGCTTCCCAAGAAAGGACAAGGAAGGTGAAGTTCTGTTGATCTTTGACGATGTCACGATTTATTGTGGTAGTCGGGTGTGGCTCCCAGCACCTGCATCGGCTCCAGAGCAGTGGAGGGAAATGTGAAGTCTCTTCTCTCCTGTCCCATCTGAGGTGAAAACTCCTGGGAACATGACATCCTTTCTGCTCAAGTACAAGAATAACTATTCTGTACTCAAAATTGCCCAGCTGTGTAGTGGCATCTTGGCTTTGCCAGTGAAAAGATGCCACTACACAGCTGTGCTGAGGGTTGCACCTCCATGGTGAAAACTCGTCATTTGTAGCACCTATGGCAAGTTTTTGGGAAGCGTGCAGTTCCTACAGAGAACTTCTAGGCCATTTAAAAAGATTTTGTCTCTGAAATTTTTCAATATCTTCTTTTTAGTGTAAGTATTTTGATATTTTCTGATATGCCTTACTCTCTAAGGGCCTTTTACCTTTCACTGTTTTGGGTACCGAGTGATCATTTCTAATGTGAAGATATGTCTTCAGAAATTTCCTTGTCTATACTTCTCTGCTCCCTCCTGGAAGACACCCCCGCCTCGTTTCTTTCTTTTTGATCACAGCGCATATTTTTCTGTTGGCATCTGCTCTATCTTCTTGATCACTGCTATGACATTAGAACACTTGGTCCCAGCTGGAAGCACTGTTTGGGAAGGCTGAGGAGATGGAGCCTTGCTGGAGGAAGTGGTCACTAGGGTGGACTTTGAGGTTTTAAAGTCATGTGCCACCTCCAGTATATACTTGTTCTCCCTCCCTCCTCTCTCTTACATGTGGTATAGGTTTTAACTTTTCTCAGTCAACGCTCCCCCAGCTCTTGCTCTCACAGTTTCCTGTCTGGGGTTCAAGGTGTAAGTTCTTAGCTTGCTGTACCAGCTTGACATACCTGCTTGCTGTCACAGTTCCCTGTCATGATGGTGATGGGACTCTTACCCTTCTTGAATCTTAAACACAAATAGACTCAGTTTCTCTTATTTACCTTTGGCTCTGGCCTTTTCTTTTGGGGTCTGTGAACTTTGGCTATCAGGTCATGATAAAGAGCCAAGTGATCACGGGACCTTGTTTAGCATGGAATGTCTTTCTGTGTGTGTGTTATAGAAAAGTTCTGAGGTAAGTTTGAGGGACATGTGCTTCATGCAGAGTCCCTGGAAGGGTGTGCAGGTACCTTTCAGTGTGGCAAACTTCATACAAACACAGCAGTGAAGACTACATTTAGGACTAGAGCACACCTGATACTTGATGCTTCCTGAGCTGGAAATATTTATACCTCATCTTAATTGTACTTTATTAAAATATCTAGCATTTTAAATAGAAGTATGATATAAAAATAAGTCCACATAATTCTTTTTCTCTGAAATTCCCATGCTGATTAACTTAAAGGCCAAATTTTTTAAATTGTTGGATAAATGGGGAAAAATCTAGTTTGTTTTGTAAGCAGTGTGAGAGCCATCTAGAGGCCAGACTATACAAATGTCTTTTAACCTACAAACCTGTATACAGAGAAACCCTGTCTCGAAAAACCAAAACCAAAAAACAAATTTAAAATATCACAGATTATTCATGGGTGTAGTAAATGCTGGGATTAAGGATATGTACTGAAAAAGTTTATAATTTCTAAATAATCTCACAGAAAAAAAATCACATAACAGTGTCACAATTACATCTGAGATCTGAATACATCTTTTAACTAAAGAGAAATAACAAAGCACAATTTTGGTAGCAGTTCAAATTAAGATGTGATAACATATGAAAGGGAACATGTTCTTATTTAGTTTCTAGTCTTAGGACTATGAGAGTCTTTTCATTCAGACTAAATACATCTTTCTTTAAAACTCTGGTAGCTATCCTCAAATGTTTTGAGGAATGCTATTATGCTTTCTAGCATAATGTTTGTACACAGAAGGCATTCAGTAAGTGTTTGTTCCTTTTAAAAAATGTTAAGGCAGTTTCCCCCATAAAGAACCAACATACTAAGTGGCAGAATATTCTTTGATACTATATTCTTTACAATAATCCACAACTTGACAAAACTAGTAACCTTTGTCAACCCATATAACTTCATTAGATTCCAGAAGTGTCAGGTAACTTATTTAATCAGACCTTACAAATAGGAACACACCTACATTTTCCCTCATAAAGCTTAACGCTCTACATCACATCTCTAAAAATTACCTCCCGATTCTCCAGTTTATACTTAAACGGGAGATTAAACATGCCTTCTCAGCCTCTTCCAATGCACTGAATGCTTCTTACCACCGTGACAGCCTGTGAGACAACGCACCTGTGAATGAGGAGGACTGGGAGTGTATGGAGCCCCTGTTGAGCATGGTCATCATCTGGCCCACAAAGGCTCTAGGGATAAGATTGGCGTATGGGAGTATCTCTGCACTGATAAGCTGGACCACCTAAAACAAAGTTAAATTTTATATTTTAAAAAATGAAAGAGCCTTCCCTGATGAACTACATGAACTAAGCTCTACTGCTATTATACATGACCACTGACAGTAAGGTTACCTACACTACAATTTTATATGTTGATCTTCATCCCAACTGTAAACACACAGAAAAACTGAAATTCACCCATGTTAAAATAAGATATCCAAATTAAGGTTAAGCTTACTTATTATATCAGAAATTATAAACTATGAGAAACTCAAGTTACATGCATCTTTTTTTGTCAAATATTTTATCCTGACAGTTTATTTTATCCTTGAAAGGAAAAGCTCATCCAAGGTTTAAAACAGCAATGGCACAGAGGTGACACTTAGATCTATGATGATGCCTACACTTCCAAGTCTACACCTGAAATAATGTATTTGATTTACTTAAAAGTTAAGCCATCTATCTTAAAGACAATAGATCCCAACTCTGTCACCAACCCATACTTCAAAGCTAAAAACTTCCAAGGCAGCTAGATGGCTCAGCTGGTACAGAAACCATGTAAAAGTGGAAGTCTCCTCGAAGTTGTCCTCTGACTTACAAATAGCACCAGCAGGGAGACGGACAGAGACATGCACGAATCACATATGTGCCCTTCCCCACTAAAAGTAAACATTTTAAAGTCTCCAAATTCCATTTATAATCTTCAAATATAGTAAAAAAAATTTTTTTCTAAATTTGCTTACTTCAACATCAATACTTTCATTTCTTTGAAATTCTTGAATAGAAAGATTATCTGGAGGTATGCTAAGAAAGAAAAAAAATTGATTTTTAATGGTACAACATTTCTTGAACAAACAGAAAAGAGATAAACAGTATTCAAATAAGAAAACATCAGATCTCCCTCCTCAGGTTGAGACATTATGGTATACTTAAAAGAATACACTTTTAAATTCAAGTAGTTAGTGTAAATGGTTTGTTAAAACCCTTGTACCAATCTTGAACTGAACAGTTGTACAACTAAACTTGGTACAATGTATAAAAAAGGTTTATAGATAATACCATTGAGAGTACATCTGAATTGATTTATGCTGACCGTGACATGAAAGACCCTCAGTCAAGCCCATTGTTAACTTGTAATACAATGCACTCAATCCTTTACAGTAAATAGAACACCCCCATGAGGAAGCCTAATTTAATTTTCTAAAACCAAGTTATTACAGAAGAACAAATTAATAGTTCTGAAAGAACCAAGGTGCAGTCTAGACTTTCTAATTCGTGAATAGCAAGGTCATACATTTACAAAACCCTAAAACAACTGAGAACAACTGAAAATAAAGTCACAGTTACAACAACAGTTAGACTCAGCCAGGGTCTGGAGGAGCTTCATCTGCATTACTCTCAGATGTCCTCACAGCAACCCCCTGAAGCAAGCAGTGTTATCCCAGTCACCAGAGGGGAACACCGAGGCCACATGTACCTAAAAACAAGTCTGCCATCACACCTCAAGTCAATGGCAAGGCTGCAATTTGAACTGCTTTATCTGACATTTAAGCCTATACTACTTTCTTTAAGCCTATATTACTTTCTTTATATTGCATGCATAAAACATTTAGGTTTAACGGCATCCTGTACAGTTTTACACTACAGCTAGATGGTTAGCAGGCCTTTAAAAACCATACACCAAGCTCCACGTCCTCTGCATCAAGCACAGGTCTTTCCACCACAGTGACCCATAAACACCCTTCCTCCTCTAGCTGCTTCCTGTCAGTTACTAGGGAAGAACAGTGAGAAAGTAGGGGACACATGGATGCCCGTCCAGTGTGCAGTCAGTGACTATCAACCCAGATCTCACAGCTATGACAGTCTTCCATCTCTTTAAAGCTCTTCCTTTTACATCAATGAGCTGACCTTTTAGTAAAGAGGAAGTCTTCAAGAGTGCTGGCTAATTCTGGCCACATGCTGTCAAATTTCCCAGAAGAAGCATGCTGTCGGGCAACAGGCAGCCCGATGGAAAGGACTTTGAGGAGAGATGCTACCGCCAGTTTCCATGTGCTTTCAGAAGGGCAGGAATACTTCAAACTGAGAGGAACCCTGAGAGTCTGAGGAAAAGAGTTAAAAATCGGTTAGAACACACATAGCTGCATTCAAAACAACTAAAGAAACGGCATCGCAGATCTATTGATTCTCAGGCATAGTCCCCAAAGCCCACTTCCTAGAAAAATACACGTCAGGGCCTTTTGTATGCTAAGAATGACCAGTTAGCACTGAGCTAACTTCAGCTCTGAAAGCTACACATGTTTTTTTTTTAAATGGGACACACAGTGTCACTAATGTAGCTCAGGTTGGCCTCAACCTGTCTGTCTCTTGTCTCAAGTCTCCCCCAAGTGCTGGGTTACATATGTGCTGCAACCATGCTGCATTAACACTGTCTCCATCTATCCTGAACTGGTTCTCCCCAGCAGAAAGCAAAACCAACATGGTCATCTATTTAGTACACACACACACACACAGACTAGCCTTTTAAAGATGAGTCCGCATCACCAGTTAAACTGCTGCTGAGTGCATCCGTAAGATTCTGAGAGTTCTTTAAGAACTACAGCAAATCCACTGAAGAAAAACCTAACTAGGCTGGAGATACAGTTTAGCTATATTTCATAGATTAAAAAAAAGGGGGGGGGTTGCTAAATATAATTCATGCATTTGTAGTCACTATAAATGTTTTTTTTCAATTATTCCAATATATTGCCTAAAGAGAAATTTCAATATTTTGATAACAGCAAATAAAATTATAGAGATAAGAGAAGATAATTACCTTAATAATGTTCTGGAGGACTTTCTCATTCACCACTGCTTTATGACAAGCTGTTTTTTGGTACAAATCCACAACTACTTCCAAAGATCTTTCAGCAAATGGTACATAGTTCAGGGCTACCCATTCCGCCTAGAAATTAATATTTTCACATGGAGTTAAAGGTAATGAGACTTGAAGGAAATGATATTGTTTTTGAAAAGAAAGCTCCTTTTCCTTATAAGCTCAGGCCTTGGTTCTAGATCAGATCAAATTACATGCAAAGTTTTAAAAACACATGTACTTCATAAAAAGTTTCAGCCAGGCAGAATTTACAACTACTGGGGAAACACAGAGAGCACTCTGTCAAGACTGGGAACATGGGCTTTTACTTGGTGCCAGGAGGTTAGGACAGTTTTAGGAAATTTAACTCACCGGTGCAAATAGTTGGATCTATTGTGATTCCATTGTGATGCAAGACAAATAGAATGAGAAAAATGAATACATATTAAAACTCCTTCTGGACTATATATATTATAATTTTTATATTGATGAAGAAAATCAACATGTACATGCATTCAAAAGATTACTTTTGTTCTAAGTCAAAACCACGATAGAAGCTGCAACTAAGGGTATGAAAATTTATGTAAAAATCCAACTATAAATTTCACACCAGCAATGGACAATTTATTTAGTACACACAGATTTCTTCATCTTGTACTGTAGATATCTATGTTAAGGTGGGATTAAGATCTGAGATTTACAGGCCATTTTTTAGAAGAATGGGGTAGCCAAGAAAAAGGTACAGTGCAACTTTCATGTTTGAAGAAAGCAGGAAAGTGAGAGAGCAAACTTTCAGGAAAGGGGAGAGTCAGGAATAAGAAGGTTCACAGACACAGTTTCTCAGATAACAAACACGTCTACTCTGTAATAGACACGTGAGGAGGAATGAAAACTCCCTTTCTTAGGTAAGCAAAGTTTGCCTTAATTGGAGCTCATTTATAAGTCATAACTCATTACAGAATAAACACAATCTGTGTAAACTACCTGATTATATTTTGCATTTGCAATGTGCTTTGTTTCCAGCTGTCCATACTGTGGAGGTTTACACGAGAACTCGACAAATGCCAGTAACTGGTCAAATATAGCTGGGTACATTATCTGCATGTTTTCTGGTCCCACACAGATGGCCTGTAAAGCAATATGTGAGCATTAGGATGCAGAGTGTGGACTGTAGAATGCTCCTTCCTGTGTACTCATTTGCTCATCCAAAGTATCTTAAGAGTGATATTATTTCAGGCAGTATGTCATATTTCTACACTTGAAATTCAAGCCATTTAAACAATTACTAAGTAAAAGCCAGCCTGAAAGTGTTTAGTCAGGTTAAAAATGATTTTAATGAAGTGTGATTTGTTCTTTACACAGAAGGGAAAGGGCCAGCATGTGAGGACAAGCTCCAGGTATTGCTGAGGTGCAGTATCTGAGATTTGCCCCAGTGCACCTGTGAGACCATTGTCAGGTCAAGATGAAGCTGACTTCACTGTAAGTACTATTTATTAGTTCATGAACACAACAACTGATTGCTGCCCCATGTATGTCTATATATTCACAGGTGTTATGGTTGAAAAAAATAATTTTGTGTGATTTTTTTTAAAGATTTAAGTTTTGGAATGATGTTATATTCTCTTTTCAGAGTCAAAGCTCAGAAAAAATTCTTAATAGCTACAATGAATAATTATATTTGTTCTTTTTCTGCTAAAGTGGAGTTACTAAAAAGTAAAATTTCAAGTTTTACCTTGAAAAATGAAGGGGGCATGTTCTTTATTATCTTCTATGCATGTGTTACAAACCTGAATATGGAGTTATGAGAGTTCAAGAATCTGGGAATTCTCCAAATGTGTATTTTTTTTTTTGTAGAAACCTTTTTTATTCACTTTAGGGAAATGTACAAACAATGTATTTGTATAATTTAATTAGAGGGGGACGTGTGATGAATTATATTTTTTCTTCAATGAAAACTTTTAAAAATTGGATTTCAGTTGTGGAGCTTCATGGCCCTCAAATAATCTTTGAATGTCAGATTGTCTCAAATTTTGAGTTTGTCCACAATTTGTTTCTTGTACAGTGCAACTAAGGTTACACAGATAAGGAACTGTTCTTAGCAGCTGCATTTTCATCATCCCAGCCAGGTACAAAGCTCCCAGTTACCTAGAAACAGGCCTGACAGACTGTTCACAGACGAGCTAAGACAGCAGCACTGGGCTTCCTCTCCTCTCAGCCACTTTGTTGAGATGGCTGATCACTTGGTTGTCCCTTTCTGTTCATGTTTGTTTCCTGAGATAGAGTTCCACACTGTAGCTAAGGCTGGGCTTAAACTGCATGTGAACCTCCCTGCCTGAGACTTCATCATGCTGGGGTCACAGATGACTCATTACACCAGACTGTTTTCAGCTTTTCTTTTTCCTTTAACACATTTACTTCATTACATGTGTAAGTGTGTCATACACCTGTACCATGGCACGTATGTGGAAAGTGAAGCAACTTTTGGGATGTGTATCTTTGCCATGTGGGTCCCAGGGACCACTGTCAGGCTTTGAGGCAAGCTCCTATACCTGCTTAGCCACCTGTTATCCTTATTTAGGTGTATTTTGATAGTTATGAATTGCATCAACTTGCTTGATAATCTAAAAACACTTATTTTGATATGGTTTTGCTTCTCAATCTGAATTTATTCAATGATTTTTATATCTGTTTTTAAATCTGTGTTTTACTGTTGTAGAAAACAATACACAGCTAAAAATATGCATTTTAAATTTGAAGTAAGAAAAACACTTTTACATGCTTTCCTGTGTGTCTTAGTATAGGCTACCAATAATTTCAGAATTAACTTTATACTGCATTTTTTAAAAAATGAGCACTGATTGGTGTTTTGCCTGCATGTATGTCTGTGTGAGGGTGTCAGGTACCCGGAACAGGGGTCACAGACAGATTTACCCTACCATGTGGATGCTGGGAGTTGAATCTGGGTCCTCTGGAAGGTTCTTAACTCCAGCCAATGTTCTTAACCCCCTGCCATCTCTCCAGCTGTAGAACTAACTCTACTTAAAGTAGAATTGGAGGACTTGGGCACCTTCCTAATGACTCAGAACAGACCTGCATTACTTTTTTTTTTTTTAATATCAGAAAGAATAAGTTCATAAAATCCTGACAATCTTAAATTTATCCAAAAGTATACATACATAGCAATCTCAAAAACTCTGAATTTGGCAGGGCATTAGTGGCTCACACCTTTAATTCTAGCCCTTGTGAGGCAGAGGCAGGTGGATCTCTGTGAGTTGAAGGTCTGTGAGTTCTGGTCTACAGAGCGAGTTCCAGGACAACCTCCAAAGCAATAAAGAGAAACCCTGTCTCAAACAAACAAAAACTCCGAATTTATCTCATAAAGCTTACTGCAAAATAAAAGTTTCCAGAAAGCCATATTCATTATTGCTTACACAGCCATTAAGATTACATTACCTTTTGGAGAACATCTAAAGCTGTGAGTACAGCTTCCTGTAAACTTGTTAGAACTGCTTCAGTATAAGATGGAAGGATGAAGGGGGATGCATCTGAACTTATCGGGACCGAAACAGCACTGTGCAATATGACTCCCAACTTGTGTAAGTCATCCATGTTGAAGCCAGCTTTTATGTGCTGGTAGAGAGCTGGGAAAATCTGAATTAAAGCTGTGAGAAAAGGCTGGCTAGGAATAAAGGTTAGCTTATCAAAAGTAATAGGTGGCTTTGTGCTTTCAGAACCAATTCTATACCAGGCATTCCAGGCAGCCCACCAGAGGCTCAAATCTTCAAGCTCATCAGTCACTATGGGCGGCTCAGAACTGTATCTACCAAGCTTGTCTCCAATGGAATCTGTTCTTACAAACGGCCTGCTGAGGCCTGGGCCTGAAATGCTTCCCATAAGGACAGGCACAGGCACATTAACCACAGGCGGTGTCTCAGGCTTCTCCGAGTCTCTGACGGGGGACACAATCTGTAAGATTTCCTGGAAGCTCTTCAGAGCAGCCAGGGACACTTCATTGTTTTTGCTGAGTGCAGCTGACTGAATGTGGTCAAGAAGAACATCCCAAGCTCTTGAAAAGTCTCCTGTATCAAGAAAAGGGGAAGGTAGCCAATTAACATAAAAATGACCATTCTCTTAGATACTTTGGAGCATATTTGCTTTATTTTCTGTTTAAATTCAACATCAAATTCAAAAGAATGTAATTCGGTTCTAAGGTACTAAAACCACAAACCTAGGGGCTGACAAGATGGCTCAGAAAAAAGGCACCTGCCACTCAAGCCTCACACTGAGTTCCATCCCCAGAACCACAAAGCCTGCTGGGTAACTCATCACTATACCCTTGAAGGCTAGTCCAAAGGATAATAGGCATTATTTTTCCTTCAATGAAATGAACATGAATCCACCACACATAAAGGCTATAGTGAAGATTGATTGATTATTCTTGGGAGGTACCACTATATATCAAGTCCAAAAGAATTTTCTATGTGTGTTCTAAATCTCTGTTAACATAACTGACTTGTGCAACGGGAACAAGAAAACATTTATGTACCTAATGGCTGCAGCAAGTATCGCCTGGTATTGAAGATTCTTGCCACTCCAGCCAATGTCAAGACCCATGTTTCAGCCCACTGTTTCTCCGCTGTGTCTCTTGAGTGATGAATTAAAATATTTCCACCCCCGGATTCAATCTTCTCTTTGTCTGCAGTTGTAGAAGACTCTCGAACTCGATCCAGTAGATGAAAGAGTACCTAGATATTTATTGAAGGTCATAAAAAGGTCATTGGTGACATAGCTTAAGCAATGGCAAAGAAACTAGAAGTTATAAAAATATGTAACCATTTTATGAATCTACATCAATTAGAGGAAACTGACTAAAACAAGCAACCTATCCTTAAGGTCACAGAAGAGGAAAAAGTAAAACAGAACATCAGTGGAACATCTACAGATATTACTTGAGATGAGGATGCAGGCCCAGGCAAAAATTATTATGGAGATGTCCAGACTGAGCTTAGGCTAATGACTAAAGTGTTGGAAAATCAGCAAGCAAAAGTTAGTTGGCACTTAGTGAATGTTTGTGCTTAAAGGAAAATAAGAACAAATGGGATAGGGGCAGGGCACCGAACAGGAGCAGAGCAGGCCTGCTTTATGAAGCAGAAAACAACGTCAAAAAGACGATGAAGCAATAATGTTAAAAGTCCTGGGTTCAATTCCCAGCACAGAAACAAGGAAGGAAGGAAGGGGACAGGAGAGGAGAGGACTGAAGTGGAGGAGGACAACAAAAGTTGCTTCATGCTGCTATAAGGAACTGGTGATGTTGCTTCATCAGGGAGAAAAGAGTGGAGGAGGGAACAGAGACAGAAACCTCTAGTCTCTGTGTGTGCACACAGGCACACAGTGAAAGTGATGACAGATGTGTGGGAATAATTTAAATGATTTAAAAAGCCAACACATAATTTAAAAGCACACATCAACTAAAAGCCACCAGCCCAAAGCACCTCCCCATACCTTCCAGATGACCGTGTGCCAGGTTGAATGCTGTAGTAGGGTCCCATGTGCACCAATTGTAGAAAACAGTGTCTGCCCCGCACTCTTCCTCACAGCAGGGCGAGGGTCCACACAAAGTTCACCCAGTTTTGCATAAAGACACAGCCACAAGCAATCAAACGGTGGTGCAGGGTGGAATGGCCGATTTAGAGACACTCCTTTTTCTTCTGCCTGCTTCTGCTGGGCTGCCTCTTCTTTATTTAACTCTTTTTCGATAGTTTCCCCTCTTTGGAAAAAATAATCTGAAATATTCCACTAAAAAGAAAAGTATAAAAATATATGACTTTATTCGCAAATTTTGTTTCAAACTTCAGAATAGATTCAATAAAAGCATTTCTCTCATTAGTGTCTCTAATTTCAAGAAAATGTGGCTATTATTTTGTCTTGACATTTATTGCCCTGTACTTTTTATTATATATAGGATAATGATTTTCAATGTGTTGTTATACATAGCACCTAGTCATTATAATTGTTAACTATAAGACAATACATTACCACCACAACAAAATAATTCCTTAGTATCACTTAATGTTTTATAATTTCATAAAAAAACAACAAAAAACAGCTGCTATCTTAACATATACCAAAGACTATCTTCTCAGGGATAATGAAGTGTGTGAATTAATGATGATGGCCAATTATGGACACGCAGTGTCTCCAACCCTGTAAACATCAATATAAAGTAAAGGAAGGGGTGCCTAGCAGTAACTAAGCCCTGAATTAACCAGCTACTCTTTGGCAGCAGGTTTGTATGTAACAGATTACACTCTTTCAAGGTCACATTTTTCATAGAAAAGCACTAATTTACTTACTTTGTGTGAGAAGCTTAAAGTTTAATTTCATGGCACTTCTGAGTTATAATAAACATTTAGGAGATTCTAAACAACTGCCTTCAAATAGTACTTATGAGAGAAATTTAAATTCGGCTTTATAAACATGCTGCATTTTAACACACAGGTAAGAGTTCAAACAATTTCCTTAGATAAATTACAAATATTGGGGGCAGTTCTCTTCAGATTTACTTCATGTGTATTACTTGCAATACCCTAACATACTACCTCTATACTCACGATATGCAATAAAAATAAAGACACTCAAATGTCAATTCAATAGCCAATGAGAGCTAGACACAACTAAAGCACACACACACCTATCTTCAGAGCCTTCCACTATAATATGGTGTCTGTCTCCTGTGTCTAACAGTGGTGTTGACAGAATACAAGTCTGCGTAAGCTGTAAACAAAGCTGTTACTAAATAGTCTTGACAACGTATGTCATTTAAGATGATGACATCTGCACACTAATCTCACATTTTGAGTCTCCTTTATACAGATTTACTGTATTGTCTCACTAAGTCCTCTCCTCATAAACCTTAAAGCTCACTATGTCAAACTTGTTTCAAATGTTCTGCTACTGAAGGTGTGCTTCCTAGATTATTTAATTCCCCATGGAGAATATGCTTGCTACTTACAAGCCAGTAGAAATTTCTGGAGTCCCAGCCTGGTTTACAAGCGCTAGTTCCAGGACAGCCTCCAAAGCCACAGAGAAACCCTGTCTCAGAATTTCCAGAGTGCAGACCATACTTGTAAGCGTTCACTAATTACTGTGTAACAGTTATTTAAAAATGGCACCCTCATAAGAAAAGTATTGACACTTACCAGCAAGCCTATGGAGGTTAGACTAATATTAAGTTCCTGGTTATGAAGCCCAAAGCTCCCTGCAACATCTACAACTATCTGTAGGCAAGAACATGGCATTGTTGGTAGAAAATCTGTTACAACCAACTGAAGACACTGGAAGGCAGTTCTTATCAGTGATTCTCTGAAAAATGCAAAAGACACGGAAAATGCACATTTAAAAGAAAGGTGTAAGACTGGGGAGGGTCGGGGCTGGAGAGATGGCTCGGGGGTTAAGAGCACTGACTGTTCTTCCAGAGGTTCTGAGTTCAGTTTCCAGCAACCACATGATGGCTCACAACCATCTGTAATGTGATCTGGTGCCCTCTTCTGGCACACACTGTATACATGATAAATAAATAAATTAATCTTAAAAATAAAGACTGTGGAGGGTCTAGGCCCTGCTCCAAATGATGACAGACTTTGAAGATCCCCCAAGGAAGGCCTCACCCTCCCTGAGGAGCAGAAAGGATATGGGATCAAGGGGTGGGTGGGGGACAGGGGAGGAGGGGAGGGAGAGGGAACTGAGAGTGAAATGTAAAATAAGCTTGTTTCTAATTTAAATAAAAAAGAAACCAGACATAGCAGCAGAATATGTAGTACCACAGAGTCAAATATTTTGCGCCAGAGGGAGTCTTGTTTCCAAATGGATTTATTTCTAAATATAATATTTTACCTTTCTCTACACACACACACACACACACACACACACACACACACACAAAGGTGTAAGAAAACACACTCTACAATAATCTCAACCAAGCAACTTTAATTTAGAATTTGAACAAGGATGGCCTTCCTGGTTGCAATCCCAATGCACAGGGTTCCTCCATGGTTTCTACTCTAGATCCTGCCTTGACTTCATAATGGATGGTGACTGACTGGGATGTGTAAGCCAAAGAAACCCTTTACTCCTCAAATTACTTTTGGTCACAGTGTTTATCAAAGCAATAGAAAATAAACTAGAACAAATGGTAAATATGTAAAGAAAATATATTAACTACTACTTATCAAGCTTTCAATATGTTAGAGTTTCTAAGTACTGAACACATGTTGATTTCATCCTTACAGCATACATCCTATGATATAAACTGCATTGAGTTGAGAAAATCAACTTCACCTTGATGTAAATTGGTCTTTTCTACTTTAATCATTCCAATATGTTATACTATTTAAGGAAATTCACCCTTACAAATTTTCTCAATAGTTTTAATATAAAACTCAGTGATAACCACACATAGCAGTGCATGCCTTTAATCACAGTACTCGGGAGGCAGAGCAGGTAGATCTCTGTGAGTTCAAGCCCAGTGTGGTCTCCAGCATGAGTTCCAGGACAGCCAGAGCTACACAGAGAGAAACCCTGTTTCCAAAACAAAACAAAACCTCAACTATGCTTGTTACTAAGAGAAGACTGTATGTGATATTGCAGAATTCAGACAAACATATCCAGTACCTGCTAAATTGCTTCACTGGTGTTCCATCCTAAATTAGGACCCTGCATCCCCTTCAAATGTGCTCTTCCTTCTGTATCCCTCATTTGTTTAATGGCATCATATTCTAAGTCAGAGACCTGAGGACCATTCTAGACTGCCATTTCTCCCTTTGCCCACATTTCCTGCTCTCCTCTTGTGCTCTTGTCACAGTGGTATCTGTCAAAGCGTATCTGACTATATCACCCTGTGTAAAATCCTAACATGCACCCCAAATACACTCAAGGAAAACACAAATGGCTTTTAAAGACATATGAAGTCATTTCTAATTCTGGCTCCATCCCTTACCACTGGAGCTTTGTTTTGTGGTAAGTACTTTTTTTACTTGTATTCTACTTGTATTCTAGGGTAGTGGCTGTTTGCGCACTCAGATCAACTAACAAGCACAGTATTTGGGATACACTCTGCACAAAATAAATATGTAAGAGACATGAATAAAGTCATTTTAAAGCAATTTCTTAAGACTTCTTAATATGGGAGGTCCTTTAGCTCTATTATAAAATGTTAGGTTGTTTATCTTATAATAAGATCTTATATCTAACATAAATGTCAGAAAGCAGTCAGTCTTCTATCTTTTTAAAACTAAAATAATATTTGAGAGTTCCCAGAGCAAACTGGGGGTTGGTTATGATAAATCCTGAACATGAGCAGGAAGGCATAAATTAAAATTTTTCACTACAGGACTTTCTCATGTTGGGTTTTTATTTTAAACACTTACCCTTGATCATTTCTGATTGCTCCCATGACTCCAAGAACTAATGGCCACCCAGGCCCAAGACTGTCCCCCTGGCTCTGCAGAATCTGCAACACACATTCTAATTGCTTGAGTCGAATATCTGGGTGGTTAATACTGGACATCTCCTTTAATGGGTTCAACAAAAGCAGCTGCAGTCTCTAAAAGGGAACAAGAAGTTAATTAGGAAAAGCAGCTCAAAGACAGGAAGGCTTTGTTGCAACTGTCTACCTCCCTGTTGGCAATGTCATCTCTATGCTACCCAGTTGGTCAAGAAGTCTTGGGCTCAAGTGACCTTGTGCCTCAGCATCCTAAGTGCTGGGACTACACAGTACACCAGGTTTCTCCTGTTCCTTGTGAGGATTCCACTCACCCCCATTCACAATATTGTAGTAAACACAAAGTTTCCTACTAAAAGAACACAGACTACGATTTCTCCAGCAGTAATCTTTACAAGTCTGTCTCTTATCCCCATTTCTAAGTAAAGGGGGAAAGCAAACCAATATTCAGTATGTAAAATTTCAGGATAAAAGTGGAGTGACCTTACTTCCTAGACCCACTAGAGATGGATCTCACTAAAAGAAATATATCTTTAGCTGCATTTTAAGAAAAAAAATTCCCAATATCTAGTATTATATTTCATTTACTTTATTAATATATGGCACATATTTAAATGTAAAATTCTCAAGTATGATATAACTGTAATAGTTTGAAATTATATGCTTTAATAAAAATTATTGCTAAGCACAAAATTTGTTGGGGGAAAAAAAAGCACTGTTTTATTCTTTTCAGCATCTGAAAAGCACTTCATTTTCCTGTTCTCTCCAATTTTTATTTTATGTGGTTAATTTATCCAGCAAATATTAAGTTTTCACTGTGTGCCAGGTATTGAGCAGACACTGAGGATACTAAAGTGAATAGAAAAAGAGCCTAAAATATTTTTATTACTACTTATTTAGTATGTATGAGTGCGTGCTTGCTCCTTGCACCTTGTAGGTCCTGGAGATTGCACCCAGGGAGTCAGAATTGATGTTAGTCACCACCCACTGAACCATTTTGTCAGCCATAAGTAGTTTATGTATTTTAAACCCTCAAATCAGAGCCAGGTTTGGTAGCATATGTCCATAGTTTCAACACTCAGGAGGCAGATGCAGCAGGACTCTATAGCAAGGCCCTGTCTTCAAACATCACGAGCAGTGGATGCAGCTGAGTGTTGGAGCACTAACAGCCCAGCATGTACAAAGCTGTGGTCCAGTCCCTAGCACCAGTAAAAGAAACAAAACAAACCCTTCAAGCTGTAGCAGAGAAAAAGGACTCGCTGAACTGCCAGCTCCATAAGAGCAGAGGTCTTTCTGTGGTGCCAATCATCCTGTTCTAATGGCGATAGTCAACAATAGTGTGCCCAATTCACTGTGGAATACATGTCTCGTCTCGACATGAGACGAGAAGTAGAACACTAATAACTGTTAGATGCTGCGGTTACTCAGTCTTGAAACAGTGAAAATTCAGTAAAGAAAGGACATTAAACTAAGTACAAAAGAAAATTCTGAACTTACAAAGTGACTAGTGGTTTAAAAATAGAATGTTTTACTGGAGCTGGGAATATGCTCAGTGGGTAAAAGCCTTGCCAGCCAGGCATGAGGACCTGAGTTTATATCCCCAGCACTACGTAAAAAGGCACACAGGCCCAGCAGCCATCTGCATCCACCACTGATGGGGTGGATAGAGCAGGGCAGCTGCCATGGAAAGCTGCAGACTCACTGAACTGTTTCCAAAGTGACGTGGACAGTGCTAGAGGAAGACATCCAATGTCTACCGCTGGCCTCTACAACTGACGCATGGGAGCAAGCACCCCAAGGCAAACACACATGAACACTCACACACACCCAAAGCCTACATTATTGTACTCGCTGCTTCTGTGCTTGCTTTGTCCCTGTGTGAGAGTAGTGAGAGAAATGGGTCATGAATGGCCAGGGTTAGATGGGCAGAGGAGGCCCTAGACAGAAGCTTCAGTGCTGCATGAAGAGGGCAACCTGCAGACTAGAGGACAACGTCACTGAGATGTTTTTATGAATCCCATCCTACAACTGTTAGCATTAACAAGCACTCCACAACCTACAAGTAAAATAGAATATTGATTGCTTAAGGATTCTATCTTAGATACTGGCTTGGTGGCACACACCTTAAGGTTCCAGCACTTAGGAGGTGAGGATAGGAAGCACAAGAAATCAAGGTCATCCTTGCTGTAAAGGGAGGCCAGCTTGGGTACATAAGACCCTGTCTCACAAAAGAAGATTTATACTAGGGTATCATGAGCCAATACTGACATGAGAAGATTTACACTAGGGTACCATGAGATGATACTGACATGAGAAGATTTATACTAGGGTATCATGAGCCAATACTGACATGAGAAGATTTACACTAGGGTACCATGAGATGATACTGACATGAGAAGATTTACACTAGGGTACCATGAGATGATACTGACATGAAACTCCACCTGCGAATGATGGTCAAGCACTCTTTTTACCTGGTTTTGGGAGAGCGGCGGCTCATGGTTAAATGTCAGCCCAGCTTTAATGAGGGACGTCAGGGCTTCTGCTCCCCATTCCCTCATTCGAGAATTTGGATGCTGGCACACCTGAAGAAACACGTGTTCGGTAAAATTACTATATTTAATTGTATATATAAGGTAAGAAACATGCATTAACCTAAGGATAGAAAAAACAATGCTGTATTACAGCTTTTGTGGTTTTTTCTTTTTTTACAACTTAAAAATAGCATATATTCAGTAAAGAGTAAGAGAAAACTTTCTGTAAGCTTACCTTCTGAATAAAGGCAAGGGGGAGGCAATAGAGAAAAAGACAAAAGACAAAAGATGAAACTGAAACCAGTCACAGGAAAGGAAGGATTCCATGACTGGAGGAATACATATGTCACCAGAAGAAACAGAAGCAAGCATATCTTAAGGAGTTGTTGTTACTGTAGTTGTTGCTGTCCCCCAACCCCCCCCCACCCCGTGCTAGGGAAGGAACCCCCAGGGCTTCAACATTTGATACAACACAGTCCAGTTTATGGCACGCTATCTTAAGCCCAACCTCATCTGACAAGATGGGTTAATCATAGAGAAAGCTGCACATATCCTTCATTGATAAATTTAATGCCAATAAAATGGGTGAAACTTTAGGAAGAATAGTTCTTTCTTGGGTTTCTAAAATGACATCAAATTACTATGATCCCTAAACTACATACAAACATATGGACCAACAGAAGCAGCTGGAGGTAAATACCAGCTACTTTATCAAGGGACCGCAAGTTGAAGAACAGACGTATCTAGAAAAAATTCTCTCACTATCTATGATTTAGTGGCAACAAAACCGCTTTTTTCTCTCATGATACTACCACTGTAGCAAACTTGTGAACAAGGTATATCTGTAACTCTCTCTCATCCCAAACTGCTCAAAATTTGAGAAATACCTGAAATTGAGGTGAATTAACAGACTGATCAAAGGAAACAGTTCCTAGCAGATAGCTGACATCTTTGCTAGTTCACAAGTTAAAATGTTACCCATTTTTATTTGATAAACCTTTCCCCAAGCTCATTACTATACAACTATAGTCCTTAAAATACAAGGAGAAAGAGGAAGGACAAGTTATTTTGTCATTATATTGAATCATAAGATCAATGTACAAAAAAAATCAATGTGCATGCCTTTATCAGTAAAAATATATAGTATTTAAGAAAGACTGTTTACCTCAAGTAGATGGCCAGTTAGAGGTCTCCATAAAATTTCTATTCTGTGCATATTAACCAGACCAGTTTCTAATAGTTTGGCAACAGCAAAAAGAGATGGTTCCTAAGGAGGAAACATAATTACATTTTGATATGATAAAGAGAATTCTGAGATCTGACTGTGAATAAAATATAACATTATTATGACTAGTCTATATATGTAAAGCTAGCAGTATATAATAGAACCTATTATTATAAGGCAAGACTTTCTGCCACCCTGGAACAGCTCCTAAAGCTACTCCAAAATTATATTGGAACAAAGTGTGAATAAGTTACAGATCTTAAAGAATTACAAACGCAATTTAAAAAAAAAATCTATACTAACATTCTATGGTACTGAAAACATTTGTAATATGAAAATGTTTCATGGGGCTGGAGAGATGGCTCAGAGGTTAAGAGCGCCGACTGCTCTTCCAGAGGTCCTGAGTTCAATTCCCAGCAACCACATGGTGGCTCCCAATCATCCATTATGAGAACTGGTGCCCTCTTCTGGTGTGCAGATATACATGGAAGCAGAATGTTGTATACATAATAAGTAAATAAACTCTTAAAAAAAAAAAAGAAAAAAAAGAAAATGTTTCAGTGTCGTTTTCTTCCCTAATAGAAGCTGTAAATTAAATTACACTGGGATTTTAAGACAACTGTGGCACGAGCTAACCTATAGGTTCCCCTAAGAATTATGGTAGAAAATTTATGTTAATGGAGAAATACAGCAGAAGGTTGGGACTGACATTGACAGTTTTAAATGCATGGTATGTCATTTTGATTAGGCCACTGAACAACTACATAACTAATGTAGATTACAGTATCTACTGAAGTTTTTAATGTGTAAAATGGAGATAATAGTATATAAACTAGATCTTGTCAGAAGGCACATGGTAAAAGTCCGTCTCCCCAAGAGACAACTCTCTAGGACTAGTCTTCCTCTTTATGGAACAGGGAACACATAATCACTTGTAGCAATTAAAAGAACATTTAGATGTCCTGGATTCACACCTGAAGGTTTTTTACAAAAAAGTTTTAACTAAAGTTCTATGAGCTTTATATTCTACTCAAATATTGCAATAAATTAATCATGCAAAAATATGAAACTTAAAAAGTTTAGGTTTACATCTGTCCTTCAAATACAAGGTGAAACATAATGAATAAAAGTTTAATCTTAAAGCAAAAAAAATGGTCATTTATATTATATATGAAACTGGCCTTTTAAAAATGAGTCTGCCTTGCCAGTTAAACTGATGGACTTCATTCTGAATGTATCCCTGAGTAGTAAGCATCCTTAAGATTTGAGGGTTCTTGCCAGGCAGCGGTGGTGCACACCTTTAATCTCAGCACTCAGAAGGCAGAGGCAGGCGGATCTCTATGAGTTCAAGGCCAGTCTGGTCTACATAGCGAGTTCCAGGACAGCAAGGGCTGTTACACAGAGAAATCTTGTCTTGAAAAACCAAAACCAAAAACAAACCAAAAAAACAAAACAGATGTGCAGCTTTTTGAAGAACTCTAACAAACCCACTGGGAAGAAAGACTAGAGACACAGTTCAGCTGAAAAGGGGAACAAGAACATGAACATCTTGTTCATGGAGAACATTCTAAAGTCTATCTTATAGAATTTATAATATTTATACTTGAACATTGTTTTGTGCTGGGAAACAGAACCCAGGACTCTTTGACTTAAACATTTTATAAAACTTTTTCATTCCATAGTCACCAACTCACTTGTAAACTAGAAATCTCTTTTCTTTTTATCTCATAGTCAAGTGTCATACATGTAAATAAGCATGCTGTGTCTATCAAACAGATACAAGTAAATTGACAGTGCTTTGTGAATTATATTTCATTTAGTACTCTATTAAGATATTATAGTTTTTGTATTGAGGTTTAATCACAAAATGTAACATTTTTCAAGATATCAATTAACTGATTAGTTTACTTTAGCATTTAATGTTACTCTTGCCCAGATATGGAACAAATAATTATACATATTTTCAAACACCTGAGTGTTCATGTAATTAACTATATATATGAAACATAAAACCATACTCCAGTAGGAACGTTTATTTTCTTTATTTATATTTTTGCATGTGTATGGGTACTTTGCCTGCATATATGACTGTTCACCATGTGAACCAAATGTCCAAAGAAGGCTAGCAAAGTGAGTTTTGATCCCAATATGGAGTTAAGGTGGCTGTGAGCCACCATATGGGTGCTAGGAAGCAAATCTGGGTCCTCTGGAAGAGCAGCCAGTGCCCTTAACCTCTGAGCCACCACCTCTCTAGTCCCTAGTAAGAACTGTTGTTTGCTTGTTTTATGTCGTCTCGTGTAGTTCAGGCTGACCTGGGGTTCATAAAGACTTAACTATGATCTTGAGCTTCTGATCTTGCTGCCTGCATTGCCCAACGTACAGGATTATAGGCGTGCATTGCCAGTGTCTGCTTTTATGTGATGCCAAGGATCCAGCCCAGTGTCTCAGGCACACGAGGCAAGCTCTCTACCAATTGAGCTACTATTCAGCTCCAGGAAGAGACAAGAAGAGTCACATAAAACAATGATGACAAGCCACAGAGCATAGAATAATTAACAACTTTGGAGACAACATAGCTTGAAGCCATACAGTTATTATTTAAAAGCTGAACTGTCTTCATATATATTTGGAAGTGATCACACTATACATATTTTTAAATGCAGAAAGGTGGCTGGAGAGATGTCTGGCTGCTCCTGCAGAGGACTAGAACCCACACTGGTGGCTCACACCTGATATCCCAGGGGATCTAATGCCTTCTGACCTCCAAAGGCACTTGAACAAATGAACACACACACACACACACACACACACACACACACACACACTTTTTAAAATGTATAAAGGACTCCATTCTGTTTTTACAGTGCTAGGACCACACACCCATTAGACAAGCACTGTGAATCACTCTCCAAGCTAAAATTTCTTATTTTACGATTCACTCTTTCTGTATTCATTTTTGTGGTAATGGAATCAAACACAAGGCCTCCAACAGTGTAGGCAAGTGCTTTACTATTGAATACTGTTAGCCTCAAACACATTTCATTTAAAATAATGATTTCTAAAATATGATTACGCTCAAATTTTCCTGTGCTTTACAAATGTTAGAGAAAATATTTTGAGTATAGACAGGGATGTTCTTGAATGATAATATCAGACATATTGTTCTCCACTTACCTGACGGGGGAGAGACAGAGTCCTAGTCTACTTACTCAGTTAACAGATAATGACAATGTTTAATTGCAAGAGAGGAGAATCACTGTTGTCAGAAGGAAACAATGAGCCTCTGATTTTCCATCCTATGAAGACAGTACAGCACAGCCACCCAAATCTGCCACATACTTTCCCTAACTGTGATCTTGCATCACCCAAATCATAAACATCAAATACAAATACCATCAACATATTTTGTGAAAGCTAGTTATAAGAACTGTGTTGCATTATTTATATAATATTAAGAATATTCGGCACATAAGAAAAAAGGGATATAATTTTAAATTAACTAACCACACACGTAGAGAAATCCCGAGCTACATCATGCCCTCTTTATTCCTCCTTCTGCAAATGGTACCAAAACACCAGTCCTGCCAGTCAAACACTAAGGCCACTTAGACACCTTGTATAACTAAAGAGAAATGTAAATTACCACACCTTATTATTTCCATAGGCCATATCCATTGCTTCTAGAGATAAGGAACAAAGTGCATTTATTAAATGATGCAAAGATACGTCATCAAGATACCTAAAATGAAAATGAAAAAGACAATTTCATCTCAAATATACAGCTAGGAACAATGTGGCTGTCAATTTAAAACACAGACTTACTGTGAACTTTCAAAGAGTCTTGAAAGTATGTTGGAAATCACTGGCAAATCTGTCATCACTGCTGTTGTTAGAACCTAAAGGAAGGATGGAGTCAATTGTAAAGTGTGACACTTTAAGAAGTGCCCACTGGACAGGAAGGGCTGTCACTTACTGTACTGGGTCCTTCTACAGCTCTTCCCGGCTTCAAGGCACCACCACCACTCGGCTTTAGTCCCAGAATCCACACAAGATGCTGACAATTAAAATAAGGTTATAAACCTATAAAAAAATCTAATAAAATCAGTGATAATATCTAATAATAAAAAAATCAGTCATTTCTAATAATTAAAATGAAAATAATTGGCACCATTCATATAAAATAATTATAGCATGCAGAAGCAGTAGAATTTAGGGCATTAAAAGTAGTCTATTACTTCCTAAAATAGAAGCCACTTGTTTTATTCCTTCTCATCTTCTTTTTCATACTATTTATTAGGCCTGCCTAAAGGATCAACAGGCATTGCTTCATTACTAGCAATCATAAATCTAGAATCTGATGCTACAACATACCTGCAGAGTTGCCAGCACGAGTTGCCATGATGTTCCAAGAACAGCACCGTGACAGTGAGCCAAGTTAAGTAGTGTCCTCATGCACTGGATGTTTTTGGAAGTCAGCTGTGGTGGAAAGAGACAGATTGGCATCTGCTGCTGTAGCGTCTTACAAATCACAAGCTTACAAGCCAGCAAGAAACATTCACAAGTCATCTTATATAAGTTTGGATGGTTCTATAAAACACAAATTTGCTTAATTAAAAGTTGTGTTATCAAAGCTGCACAGGTGGTTCACTGAGTAAAACATATGCCATGTAAGTGTGAGGGCTGGAATTCAGATTCCCATAGCCCACATACATGTTGGGAGGGCATGGTGACTTGTCTGTAACCCCAGTCATCAGGAGAAGAGACAGGGCAACCTAGACTAGCAGGAGAGTTCCTCATTCAAGAGTTAGAAACCCTGCATCAGTAGGTAATGTGGGGCAGCAGAGGAAGACAGCAGATGATCATCTCTGGCTTCACTGGCCTACGCATGTGCCGACACACACACACACACACACACACACACACACACACACACATGAATACACACCATATAAACATACACATGTGCAAAAGAAGTTGTATTATTATGCCACTTATGATAATGTCAACAAGTTTGTTCTGGAACATCCTCTAGGTAAAAGAAACTAAAATAACATTTGTTTAAAAAAAAAAAAAAAGAAAAAGAAAAAAAAAGCACACCAAGTGTCACTGGTCATTCATCAGTAACCAAATTAACCCCAGCACCCTAGTTGCATTACCATTACTGTTCCTTGAGGCTGGACTGCCAGGGGCTGACCCACTGCCACAACTTGCTGGTGGGATTCACTGGACGGACTTATCATCATTACACTGTGGCCCTGGATAGAATATGCTAGAAGACAAAGGAAAGCCTGGATGTAAGACACTGCTTCAGTTCTCTCAAGGTAATGTTGTATTGTAAAATAAAGTTCAATAGCAACAATTAAACAGCAGTACTATTAATCTAGATGCATGCAAACAACTGAAAACTCATAAGTTGCAAACACCAAAAAAAGCAAACGAAGTAATTTTCTATATAAATTTTAAAATAACTCATTTATAAGCAAAACAGAATTAGGACATAAAAAGTATCTTAAACATGTACCTATCTATGTGTACTTTTCTAGTTAGCGGCAAACACATTTTGAGTGTGAAACCTGAGTGTCACACTGAAATACACACACACACACACACACACACACACACACACTTACTCACACTAAATGTAATAAACCTTAAGTGTTTTCAAAGAAAATAAGTTTTTGAATGTTAATTTAAGGTCTACTAGGCTAAATAGAAAAACAGCAATCATCATTTCAACAATGTATTATAGTTTGTAAAGGAATGCCAGAATTATATTACTTTATCTGCATAATTATTACTTAAAATCTCTTATCACTAGATTCTTCCCCTCTCCACCTTTTTCAGGGAAGAGCAGAAAAGAGATGTACACTATGTGACCACACTAGGAAGAGAAACAAAGAGGTCCAATGACAGTAAGTCCCATCTTCTCTCTTTCCTTTTAAAGAGATGAAAGAACTATTTTAGCCCGGCAGTGGTGGCACACGTCTGTAGTCCCAGCATTCGGGAGGCATAGGCAGGAGGATCTCTGAGATTGAGGCCAGTCTGGTCTACAGAGAGTTCCAGGACAGTCAGCACTGTTACACAGAGAAACCCCTTCAAGGGGGAGGTGGTAGGTAGAACAGTTTTAAAGAAGGTGGATAGAATGGAAAGACAGGAAAATAACTGCCTGGAGGTAACACAATCAATGTATACAACAGCAGAGGCCAGAAATCAGAATGTCTGCCATCCTTTCTCTGTGCCTTATCATCCCATGAGGTGTGGAGAAAACTGTGCACTTTAACCTTACATTTATTGGAAAGTGTAGCTGCAGTGGTGGCGTTGAGCACGGTCAGCGCATAATGTGGAGGCAAGGACCCTTTGCAGATTGCGGTGATGAAGGCATCCCTTGACGTTACAAGGCCCAGTCTTCCACACAGAGCAGCCATAGTCAATTCAGCCTTTAAAATATTCTCAGTGGCAGCCTCATCTGTGCTGAAAAGATAAATATTTTAAGTTACACTTTAAAACAAGATGTGGGCTTACATGTTCTGTGAGGTTTTAAGAAAAGCTAAAACCAATCTACTTAGGATGGAACTTTAACAAATTAACCTAATATCTAAAAAAACTAAACTATGTACTGGAATGCACATGTATAGTTAGAAAAAAGACCAGGAACTTAAAGACTAAACTGAAATTATCAAACATTTTATTTATTTTGTTTTAAGACAGGGTCTGTAGTCTAGGCTGGTCTCAAACTCATTGCAATTCACCTTCCTCAACCTTCTAAGCACAGAGATTACAGGCCTGAACAACCACATCTGGAATCAAACATCTTAAAATCAGTTAATTCTGAGGAGAAACATCCAGCAAATTATCATCAGTAAAGAAGCAGGATACAAGTGTTCCCTAATTTGAAATGCATTTTTGATTAAAGCATTGTGACAATTTCAAGCAAACATTGGCTCCAGGAGGGAGTGACAAAGAGCAACATTCTTAAGGAAATGCTAAGGTGATGGCAATATTAATTACCCTAATTTCATCACGACACTGTGCACACGAATTATAATACTGCACATGAAATTAAAAATGAGCATCAAAGTTCTAATCATACAGAAAACTACAGGTAGGAAATAAGTTCTTCAGACAAATGAAGTTCGTAAAACAAATTTAGTGTTGGTTTTAAGTGCAATGACATAATATAAAACTTACAAAGACGTAATACCTGGCATCAAGAAGGAGTGAGAGCGCAGCAAGAAGACCACACCAGCAAGCACTCACCATCTCTTCCCAAACGGCTCTACTAACTTCAAAGGAAACATAACACTTAATCATATTACACCTGCTACAATGAACTGTAATCTATAAAATTCAAATATTCCAGTAACAACTAAATTATTAGACATCAAACACTAATTTTTAAAATACCCATAATAAAAAAGTCTCAAAGTTGTTTTAAAACATGTATTACATCTCAATTAACTGGAACCTTTTTCTTAAGCTTTATTTATTATGTTCATAGTGTTCTGTCTGCATGTATCACTGCAGGCCAGAAGAGGGCACCAGATCTCATTACAGATGGTTGTGAGCCACCATGTGGTTACTGGGAATTGAACTCGGGACCTCTGGAAGAGCAGTCAGTGCTCTTAACTCTCTCCAGCCCAACTAATACCTTTTTAAAAATACACAATGCCCCTTCTGTTCCCTAACCCTTCAAAAGACCACACTGTCTGTGTGATCAACTGGAAATTAATGCAGACTACTGTCTAAAACATTTGCTCAGCTAAAATACTGTTATATCTGCTGAAAATCAACAAGTAAAAAAACACAGGAGTAAAATGGCATTACGCACTGCTGTGGGATAGCCCTTCTATACTGTGAATATGTATTCCTCTCATTGGTTGATAATAAAGCTAAACTGGCCTATAGCCAGGCAGAAGGTAGGTGGGAAAGACAATGGAGATACAGGGAGAAGGAAGGATGGGACTGTGGGGGCAGAGGAGAGATGCAATCAGCGGTCGGGGAAGCAAGATGCTAGAGGACAGGTAAAGCCAGGAGCCACAGGTAATACACAGATTAATAGAAATGGGTTGATTTAAATGTAAGAGCTAGTTAGTAACAAGCCTGACTATAGGCCAAATGTTTTGTAATTAATATAAGCTTTTGTGTGTTTATTTGGGACTGGGCGGATGGGACAAAAGAAAAGCTCCACCTCTGTTTACAGGGTACCTCACTGTTGGAGATGGGTTATACAAACATGTAAAGTTAAAATTGACCTTGTGAAATGAATGAGGACTAGAGAAGCTGGGGTGACGAGACATTTTCAAATCCAGACTTGAGGTCTGTGGGCCCCTTTGCCAAGTAGCAAGAAGCACGCCTAGTGCCCATGTGTCAGTCTCAGTATTATCTGCCAGGGCTCCTTGAAAAGCTGACTGACACCTGGGCTGGACAAGCAACATCTGAGATCAAGGTAGAACATCGTGTAGTGTTAAACTGTAAGGGTACCAAGAGAACATCAGAAATGTCAAAAGAGCATGGCCCAGCTTCGGAAGCCTCACCCTGAGCATCACACCAAAACATGATGGCCACTGGTGATAATTCCTTGGAGTCAATAAAAATCCAGTCTTATTAAAGAGTGAGCATCTCCAAAAATGACACAAACTGATATTTTTGCTTCCTCACATATTGATAAATCAGTAGCTAAATTAAACATAGTAATTGCCCTGTGCTAATCTTAGAAATGAATAAACCAATTTGGGATATAGCCTTCTAAAAATGTCAAGGTCATATAAAACAAAAACTAAAGAACTGTGTCCTACATTGCAGGAAAATATCCATATACAGTGATAAGTTCAACAAACAAGGGACCACAAGGAAAACCACTGTGACAACTGGAAAAATCTGAAAAAGACCTGGGCTTAGATGAAATATTGGATTGACACCAATTTCTGCTGGTAACTGCATCAGAACGGGGAAGGCTATAATCAGTTTTAGAAATACACATCCAACTATTAAGGTGTAGTGGGGACATCCTCTCTAGAAAATCTCAAATAGTTCAGAAAAAAAAAGATAATGATATGTATACAAATAAGGAGAAAGGTAAGCTCAACATGATAAAGTGTTAATAACTGGGAAATAAGGGTAAATGGCAACATAGGAACATTTCTTCTAAATTCCCCCTAAATTTCAGACTATTGAAAAGTATCAGTGATAGAGAATCATGGCATACCTGTCTCCTTATCTGCCTGGTCCGACACTGACTGCTCGTCGTGCTGCTCTGATGACTGTGAGTTTGCTCCTTCAGTGACAGTAGGACACTCTGTTTCAACCTCTCCTAACTCTCCTTCTATCATGGTGGTGATTCCACGGACAAGATCCAATAGACAGTGGAATGCCACAGACATGGCATAGCCCTCTGGTATAGTTGGGGGTTCAACCTTGTCCAGCATCTCTAGGCTGAAATCATGAAAAATTAAGGCACTAATGAGAAGATACAGGAAAGAAAACATAGGAAGCTATTTCCATAATTTGTAGACTCTAAACATTACTGACAGGATGAGAAAAATAAAGGGACATTACTGAGCTTGTCTCATTCAGAGAAGGGTCCCTCTGCAGTATTTTAAACTGGTTAGAGGGGCTGGAGAGAGGGCTCAGTATGGATAAAAGGTGCTTGCTGCCAAGCCTGAGGATCTGAGTTTGATCCCTTGGACCCACGTGATGGAGAAGGGAACTGACTCCTGCAAGCTGCCCTCCAATCTCCATACATGTACTATGGAGATTTTTTTTTTAATGTAAAAAATGATTAGAAAAATGAAGGCCTGGCTGCTACCATAACTTCACCTTGAGATGTATCGATATCTTCACTATTTTTTGATATAAGAAATATAAAAACTAACATAAAATATATTAAGACAGATTACAATGCTTCTGAAACTCTTTACTTTTAAAATAAAGTACATAAAAGATAAAATGATAAAATGAGCTACAAAGAGGAAGATGATTCTACATCAGAGAAAACAAAACTGAGCTACTCAGATGTCATGTGACCTAGGAGACAGTCAGCCAACAGTACAAGTAACACTGAGGGACATCTGTGTTGAGCTCAGATGTACTAGATAGAAGAAAGTGTTCAGAGGGCAAGACAATAAATCTTATGTTCTAAATTGGGACAAACGAGGAATTATGGTTCTGATCCCTCCAAATGGCTAATTCTCAAACTAACAATACAAAGAATAATGGTACTGGGATAACTATATTCTCATCCAAAGAAAAAGAGATGTTAGACCCCTATCTCTTGTACATAAAACTAGCTCAAAACAAACCAATGACCTAAATGTAAAAGAAATTACAAAACTTGTAGAGACATAGACATAAATCTTCATAATAGATAATGCAACAATATCAAAACACAATTAAAAAATAGGTGAAATGACACCAGCAACCTTTAAAGCCACTGTGCTCCACAGCTAGCAGCAAGGGATGGACAACCTACAGAACAGCAGCAGCTTCTGCAAACCTGTGTATGACAGAGACCTAAAACGCACGTCCTTCTATGTTCTTGCTGCTGTAATAAACACGATGACTGAAAATAACCAGAAGAGAAAATAACCTCACTGGTTTCCTAAATATTAAAAGTAATTTTTCTTACATATAGAGCCCTAGAACTTAGCTATATGACTTCCATCCCATAAATTGGAGAAATTAGTTTAAATAAAGATGAATTTGCCAAAGGGAATTCAATTCTAGAAGAACTTTGTCCAAGAGGTCTAAAAATCAAGTCATTATTTAACTAAGAAGCTACTTGGACAACTGAGTCAATTCTTAGGTAAAAAAATCATATTTTTGCTTTATAATGCTATTAAGAGCCTGCAAATACAAGAAAACAAAATTTATTACTGATTAAAATTCTTAGAATGTGACAAAAAAGTAAGCTCCAAACTGTATTAGCAACATTAAATATAATCCAGACAGAAGTATTTTAGAGTTAAATGTCATCTTCAGTGGTATTATTTATTATAGAACAATGTTGCTACTACTCACTAGGTGGCTTTTGCACTGCCTTGAACTGTAATAGTCAGGATAGGTATCCAAGTTCCTCTGTATTCAAATGCTGGTAGCAGAGTAACACCTCCACCAATCCCCACCATTCCTGAGCTGGCTGGTGCTGAGACTGGGCCACCAGCATTATTGTTTCCTATCAGATAAGGAGGAAAAGCAAAGACAACAATCTATTAGTTGATTACAAACCAATACATTCCAACTCAGACTTGAAGACCCTGTGCTATCAAAACAAGTGTGACGCCTATAAATGACATTCCTAATTCTCTTTTACCCAGAGCACCTATTCCTTTAAAACATTACTTCATTTTTTAAAATATAAAAATCACTAGAGAGCATAGGCAGATAGCTCTGTTGGTAAAGCATTTGTCACACAAGCATGGGGACCCAAGTTTGTTCCCAGAACCACATAAGATTTATACGTACACCTCAAACAGTGGAAATTAGTTTATACTGAACCTCACAGTAAGTGAACAAAACCTAGCAACTCAACGGAGAAGCTCCAATAGGAATAAACTGATGGATATACAAAGTAGTGCCTGAGTTTGCTCCCCAATACATACAAAAAGCCTGGACTTGGTAATGCATGGCTGCAATCCCAGCTGTAGGGAGGCAGAAATAGGCAGATCCCAGTGGCCCACCAGTCCAGTCTACTCAATGAGCCCCAGGTCCCAGTGAGAGAAAACTGTCTCAAAATACAAGGTGTCGGACAGTCCTGGAAAATGACAAGCAAGGTTGACCTCGGCCTACACACACACACAGGCCTGTGCCTGCACATATATGAACACATACACAGTTATAAGAACAGACAAAGCTACAAAATTTTAATACTTTATATAAGACCTCTTCTGGAAGGTAAGAATAGAGAGTTAAAAGGCCATTCATCAGGTATGTCAAAGTCACAGTCAAAGATGATAAAGGAAACTAGAAGCCATACACTGATTTCCAAACAAACTGAAATCATGTGAGTCAACTTCTATTGAGATATTAAGACCTCCCAAGAGATTAAATGTCTAGACTTTTTTTTTAAAGAATCCAACAAAGACTTTTTCTAAAATGAAGACTAGCACCTAAACATTAGCCCTTATATAATCAGAGGAAATTAAAGTATATCAGAGAGGAAAGTCTATTCTGAAAAAAATAAAATAGTTTGTCATGGTAGGGTCAAATTATTCTTTAATATTTAAAAAATCTTTACTCTCAATATACTCAGGTGTTTTAAGTTTGTGTAGGCACAAGATTTCTCTGCTAGCAGCGAGTACTGTAAACCAAGAAAGAAAACAAAGACAAATCTGAACACGACATTACCAGCTTGATTGGCTGCGGCAGGGTTTCCAGTAGGAGGAACGAGAAACAAAGACTGGATAAAGGACCCCAGTGCATTCACAATGTCTCGGAAAACCTTGGTGGAATGCTGCTTCATGTCATACGACTGACAAAATGACCTGTGAAGTAATTTTACACATTTCTGGGAAAAGTACTTTAATGTATTATATTATTCACATTTTAAAAGCAAATGATACTGCTTAATAGTTACAGTTTCATATTTGGTGTCACTCATTACACCTGAGTGGTTTCTCTAACTTGGGTTAGAAACAAAGGTTTCAATTCAAGTCAAAACAAAACAAAACAACAAGACATATTGGCTGTATTTGCTTAGTAAACGATGGCAGCAATCATCTCCCGAGTGTCTGACCTTTCCCAGTTCTTTCCCAAGCGTCCACCTGGTGTTGTCCCACACAAACACCATTTTCTTGGATAAGCATCACTAATAATTATGAATAGATACTAAGCTTGTCCCAACTCAGCACAGTTATCAAGCTTGCCAGCTAACAGAACATTGCTGTGACCTTACCTTAATAACTGAGGCTGCACACACAGCCTGTGTATCGATTCCACTGCAACAGCTCGAAGCCACTGTGGCTTATCTGCATCCAGAAACTTCACCAGAAGTGACAGAAATATTTCACACTCGGTTACCTAAAAAGAACAGGATTTTTAAACATTTTGTTGAGTTAACATGATTTGACAATGTTATTATTTCTTTTTAAGAGTAACTGGGATAAAATGGAGAAGGAGTAGAATTTGCTGGAAACAACACAGCTTCTCTAACTAAGGACCTGCTAGTCAGATCTGCTGTCTCTAACCCTTACTTTTGGAAAACATAGTACACATTGATCTTGCCTCTCTAGTCCTATGAGCTGTTCACAGATGCACGGTCTGCCCTGCAGTAATATATACAATTGGATGTCTAAAAAACAAAGGAACAATTTGGTGTGATGGTGCAAGTCTATAATCCCAGCACTCAGGAAGAAGAGGTAGGAGCCAACCTGGGCTACAACAGCAAGGCCATGTCTCAAAAAGCAATAGAGTAGAGAAAAACAGCAAGAAACCTGCAGCAGCTGAGGGATGCACAGACACAGGCAGGTGAGGAGGCACTTAGCACAGGGCCCAGGGCTGCTATACTGAGCATCAGTTCACACTGCTGTTAGTAACGCACTTTTTCTTTTCTAATTTTGTGTATATAAGTGTGTTAGTGTGTTACTTGCATGTATGTCTGTGGTGGCCAGAGCATGCATCAGACCCCCTGGAATCGGAGTTAAAGACAGTTGTGAGCTCCCATGTAGAAGCTGCAAACTGAACCAGGGCCCTCAGAAAGAGCACAAAGGAACACATCTCTCCAGCCCCAATGCACACTTTATCCTTAATAACGTCTTTAAATAGTGATATGAGTAACGCATACCATGCAATGTTTACTACATGCATGACAACTGAATGACAGACAAAAATGAACCAGTATAAAGGTAAATGGATTACTCCTGTTAATTATTAGTCAAGTAAACAACAGGAACTATGGAAGGTGAAAATGAAACTAACCTTGAGATTACTAAATCAAATAGATTCTTGCTGTGTGCAGCTAGTAACTAGATGTTTCAGCTGTGGGTGCCCCAAAATGAGGCAAGAAATCAGGGAAGTAGCCTTCAAGATTTTAATCCCAGCACTCAGGAGGCAGAGGCAGACGGATCTCTGTGAGTTCAAGGTCAGCCTGTCTACAAAGCAAGGCCAGGGCTGTTAAGAGAAATCCTGCCTCAAAAACAACAACAAAAGGTGAAACATTAAATTGGATAAATAATTAAGAATCCATTCCTAAAGGAAATCAAGATCAGACTAGAGATACGGTAGCCACTTTAGGTTAAAGTTAACTGATTTTTATAAACTCCTTAAGGGCACTTTCAAGAAAAAAAGGATCTGGGCCAACACTGTTAGTAATCCCAAAGGCAAAGACGTACCTAGGTCAGAAGATTAAAAGAAGAAAAGTGCATTTCACATAGAGGGATACTCCCTCAGCCTAGACACACAAGGGAGGGCCTAGGCCCTATCCCAAAGGATATGACAGACTCTGAAGACCCCCATGGAAGGCCTCACTCTCCCTGGGGAGCAGAAATGTTATTGGATAGGGAGGGTGTTAGTGGGGGGCAGTGGAGGAGGGGAGGAAGAGGAATGGGGATTGACATGTAAAACAATCTTGTTTCTAATTTAAATAAAGAAAAATAAAAAAGCAAAGTGCAGCCATATTTTAACTACAGTTAGTTTCATCTATTCACTGTAATATGGGAAGAGAACTAACTGACAATCACCTCTGAGATACCTGGAAAGATCTTCTACTTACTAGTGGGACAAAGTGGCTGTTGAATACCTTTAAGTTCCCTGAGACCATGTGTGAGAGTGTGTGAGGTCAGACACATTTTCATAATACCATTATGATTTGTAATTTTCAATGTAGTTAACACTTGATCTGATAGCACAAAAACAATGACATTAGAACAGTAAATGTCTTGACATGAATCGTGGAAGGAAAATCAAATTATACTAGAATCTTTGTATTTCACTGCCATACACAATTAAAAGAGGCATACATATATAATATTTTAACACATATATGTGTACACACACACACACACACACACATACACACATATGCTTTATCTTAAAAACATTCTGATGCGTAATTTCCACTGTTAACTTGAGTGAATTAATAAACACCTAGGGCATTTATGGGATACATGTTTGGGTACATGTGTGAGGGTCCCAAAGAGGACTGACTTAAGGAGGAGAGTTCACCTTGCATCTGGGTGACACCTGCAACAAAAGCTGGGATAAAAGGGGAGATGGAGGAGGCCTGACACCACAGGCACGATCACAGTTTACTGGCTACAGTGAGGCAAGCAGCCTTTTGTGACATCCCCTACAACCATGATATTTCTGCCTAACTCGGGCCCCAAGTAATATATTAGCTGGCTAAGGATCAAGATCTTTGAAACCCTGAGCCAAAAAGTAAGTCTTCCCTCCTTTAAGTTGTCAGAGAGCCAAGACACTAACACACAGCACATGCAATTTTATGTGCAAGCATGTTTGGAAGCTAACACTTACCAAGAGACTATAGAACTGCTTGATCAGAACAGACACCACTCTCAGCAAACGCATGCAGATGGGAAAGTATGGTTTTTCCACTGGTGCAGGAGAAGATGAAGTGCTGGAACCTTGTCTGAATTTTATGTTTGGAGAAAAGAGCTTGATCACAAGAGGGCACACCCTTTCTTTGAGGAGGAAACTGAATTCCTGATGCTATTTGCAAAGGAAAAGAAGAATTCACTTAGTTTGTACCAATACTTCTAAAGCATAGTCACACTAATGAGATTATCATAAATAATCTAATCTAATAACTGTACATTTTCTTAGTAAGCTTTGTTCTGACAACTTTAGAATGTATATAATGCACTTTGCTTACTCTCCCCCACATTCTCCTATTGCCCCTCCCCACGAACCTTGCTACACCTCCCCCCTTCCTTTTCCTTACAAATCCCTTTCTCATATTCATTGTTTTTTTTTTTCTTTTGTTTGCTTGTTTCCCCAAGAGTTCTTAATTAGTACCATTGTGTGATGTGGGTTTGAAAATATCAATTAATGACTGGACACTCACTATTGGGTATACAACTGGACAGAACTTCTGCCCCTCTCCCAGAATGTGAGCATTACCAATAATAAGTCAGCAGTAAGGTCTCACGCTGCCCTTGTCATACTTTACACCGAGGTTTGAAATGTGCACTGTTCTTAAATGCACTAAACACAAACTGGAAATATTTCAAGAAGGTGCTGCTAAAAAATGGCTTATTTGGAAGCTGGAGAGATAATTTGTCGGTTAAGTGCACTGGTTCTGATTCTGATTTTTTATTTTGATTTTGAGCCAGGTTTGATACTCAGCACCCACATACTGGCTAACAACCATCTGTAACTCCCATTTCAGATCTGATACCTTCTTCTGGGCCCCATGGATATTGCATGCCTGTGGTACACAAACATACACACGGCATAAACACCCATGCACATTAAAAAAAAGGAAAGAAAGGAAAAAGAAATGGCTTACTTTCACATTTCTTTCATAACTCCAAAGCCTGGGGAAGTCTACACAAATAATTTATTCTAATTATAAAATTTTAAATTGTTGGGAGCAAGAAAGACAGACAGGAAGACAGACAGACAGAAAAATACTAAATCAAAATTATGACTATGACCTCTGTGCTCAGAAGACTGAGGCTGCTGTACTTATAAAACCCTTGTCAAAAAAGAACAAAAACACCACCAAGAAACACATATCTTAAACTCTCAAAGATAGAACAAACAAGATATCTCTCAAAATAGTTTGGTCTGAAGCCTAAGGCTATGTCTTTGCATCTTCTAACAGGGAAGCAGTACATGTTGACTTTGTGACAGGATAGTATCAGTTGGCTTACTTGTAGAAAGACCTGAGGAAAGTCATTGAGGACAGACTCCAGCAGCTCAAGGCCAAAAGTCCGAGTCATTTCTGTCATGCCTACTAGCCAGTAGGGGGCGTCGGCGTTGACCAACTGACAGAGGTCCTGGGAAGCAATCAAACAGTGTCATGGGTCACAATAAAATATGCCTTCCACAACTCACAGTTTGTAAAACTACAGCAAAACAAACATTTTTCTGAAAAATTAAACATCAGAAATTCAATTTTGACAAATTATACATTCAGAAGATTTTGGCAAACCTCTATAGAAGCATGTAACTATAGCCAATAAGCAGATAGCTATAGACAAGCATTATTGTAAGATTAGAACAGACTTCTAATCTTACTGTATTTTAAAATGACTTAAAAGTCAGGCCAACACATACAAGGTATTTGTATATCACTTTACATCAAGTAGACAGCAAATGTATTATTTAAACTTTTCTCAGTAAAGGAATGTTTTTGTAGGATTAGTCATCCCTAATATACCTATTTTTCTAATTACCAGTTTAATTCTACTTCCTTAAAGTGAGACAGCATTTTATCATGTTAGTCAGGTATACAGTAGATGAAGTCTTTCTTTAGTTTTTTAGAAGTACTTTAATATTAATTTTGATGTACTTAATATTAAAATAAAATAAAAGAACCCACACAAAACTACATGCTATAATAAACATTTTGTCAACTGAGATACCTGGAAAAGCATATATGCATCTTTAGCACAAGGCTTCAGGGTGCTGACAGACCTTCGGTTACTGTTTCCTTGGATCAGCACTGGAGGCTCTATGTCTACAATCAAAACAGGCCAGGGATGGGAGGAAGCACATAATGACCTTTAGCAAATCATATACTTTATTTAAGATTCGTCCTTCTTAAGAGATCCATAATCCAGTACTTTTAGAACTATGTCTCCAAAGTGAAAAATGGATATTTCATATAAAATACTATAAGAATTATTCTTCATTTTCTTACATACATTTTAATAAACTTGATCTGCCATGATAACTATGAGTCTCGGTTGCACCAGCTAAGAATCAGCTATAATGTTTTCTCTTCCTGCTCACAGCATTTTGTTTTAAACACTAATATGATGGGTACATTCACTGGGCTGACGTCATAGTCTGTGGTCAAAGGTGGCTGATGTCAAACCTGAAGAACTGGATTTGATGCCCAGGATTCACATGGTAGAAAATAAGAGCTAATTCTCATAAGTCGTCCTTTGACCTCCACATGTTTGCTAAGGTATGTACTTGTGGACATGTGTACACACACACACACACACACATACAAGAATGCATGTGCGTTTAAGAATTTGGGGTATTTTTTGTTTTATTGTTTTGGGGTGCCTTTTATGTTTTATTTATTTATTTTGGTTTTTCAAGACAGGGTTCCTTTGTGTAGCCCTGGCTATCCTGGAATTCACTCTGTAGACCAGGCTGGCCTTGAATTCACAGAGGTCAGTCTGTCTCTGCCTTCTAAGTGCTGGAATTAAAGGCATGTGGCACCATGGCTGTACTATACTTTTTCCTAAATAGTATTTTTATTGATGAGATTTATTAATGCATGTACTTTATGTATATGGGTGTTTTGTCTGCATGTACATTTGCACATCAGAACAGGGCATCGGATTCCATGGGACTATGGTTACAGACAGTTGTGAGCCACAACTGTTGTTGCTGGGAATTGAACTCAGGACCTCTGGAAAAGCAGCCAGCGTTTTAACCATTGAACCATGTCTCCAGCCCCAATATTTTTTTTAAGATACCATTCTTTGTAAATTATAGCAGCCTTTAAAATAAGTGTTGATTTGATAAATAATTGAAAGGGGTTCTTGGTATTTTTTTTTATATTATTAAACTAGAAGGTATTAAATGGTATGTTAGCCTTTAGAGAAACATGGCTAAAAATACTGCTCTAGGAATTATATCAAGGTTGTGAATATCAGACATTTAAACCAGAAAATTGTCCTATACTTACAGTAATTTTGAATAATTCCCTAACATTTCAAACTACTGGAATCCTACTTGTACTTTTCCTCAAAGAGAAATGCAGGAAAATCATGTATCAAAGCCTGTGGAAACATTCTAGCAAACCAACAGTGCAGAATGGTTGATCTAAATGCAAACCTTCAGTCAACAATCAACGCAGGGCAGGAAGGCAAAGCCATCAGTAGCATACGCATAACTGCCATACTTTCCCAGTAGTGCACATTTTACCAGTATGTCGTACAAACATCAATGTAAGTGAACCGTACTCGACATCAAAAGTTAAGAAAGTTGACAAACAATGTGAAGTGAAAGGCAGCTCATGTTTTACAAGGCCAGTGAGATGGTGCTACAGGTAATGGTACCTGCTGCCAAGCCTACTGACCTGCATTCAGTCTCTAGGATGGAGCTGTAGGAGAACTGACTCTGACATTCACATATGTGCTGTGACATGCTTGTCCAAACATGTGTGTATATACCCGCACTCACAACAAATAAATAATTAAGTGTAAAAAACATATAATTTCTTTTTGCTTGAGAAAAAAAAAGCCAGGTTGTTCATGATTTCAGCACTTTAAAATCTTTTCTACAGGAGGTGCAAAAAATATTTTTCAACCATAAAAGGTTACTACTAAAAACAATTTCTAGTTAAAAACTATCATCAAGTCTCAGAAGTTATAACATGTCAAGCAGCAAGTATCTGTATAAATCCTCTAAAAGGGGTTTCTAATTCCTCCCCCCCCCCCCCCCCCCCCCCGAGACAGGGTTTCTTTGTATTGTTTTGGAGGCTATTCTGGCACTCACTTTGTAGACCAGGCTGGCCTCAAACTCACAGAGATCCACCTGCCACCAACACCCAGCGGTGTTTCTAATTTTTAGGAATCTTTTTAAAAATCACAAAGATGTAACTCATAATCAGAATATTTAATAAAAATGTAAAAGATTCACATATGCCAATAATTTCCAAGAGGTGTCTGCAAAAATTCCCATGAGGGTGCTTACACTTGGAAATTTACCTTGATGAGGTGATTCAAACAGTGAAAACAGATGGCACTCAAGCAGCTCTAAGATATCAAACACCATATAATGTTCCGTAGGAGCTTGTCACTGAATTAGAGGATAGCCACACAATATAATCCAACTATTAAAATGTAAACTATGCAGCGAGCACACCACAAAAAATCATACAATATGTTTGTATAAAAATACATGCAATATAATATTTTGCTAAAATGAAATTATCTCTTTCTGCTTCTTGCCTACAGTGCAGTGTGATCAGTCACCTTCCATGTCTGCTCTAACGGCTTTCCTGCCACCATGAACTGGATCTCCTCTAACGATCAACTGGGATAAACCCTCCCTTCCTTGAGCTGCATTTGTCAGGAAATTTGTCAAGTTAGCAAAAAAGTAAAGGAACTCATCACATATCTAAACATACATGCATTCATACATGTTTGTATGTGTTTATAACTGTGTATATATATATGTGTCTAAGTTTTCAGGTGTTTTGTGAGTGTTTCTCTGAGACTGTATGTTGCTGGCCTCAACCTTGGGATCCTGCTGAGACCAGGGTTACAATTTGTCTCCAAAGGAATATAATGGCTAAATTGTTCAGCTTCTGGGTGATACTAGGTCACAAGGTACCACTTTACCTTTGTGTCGCTCATCTTCAGCCACCATCCTCTCGAAGACGACAGTGACGACCTGCCGTACTGTAGCAGCAGCTGTATTATTTGTAATATTGTCCTTTGTGAAGTGGAGTCGAAAACAAAGAACAATTGCCTAGGGGGAAAAATGCCTTAGGGTGAAGTAAAACTGAAGAACATGCACATTAGCCTAGCAGATGAACCACAAGTAAAATAATTTGTTACAATTAGAGATTAAAAGTTCCACTTTTTTATAAAATAAACCTATAAAAATCCTCGGATTTCAAAATAATTCAGTATCAGTAAATACATAGCTATTTAAGATTAGCTAAAATAGTTTGAAACCTGTCTTTCCAAATGTGGTTCATTTAATGTGTATAATAGTGTGCCATGCTTTATTCTTCCAGAATGACTTGCTTTAGAAATAGCAAGTATTCATGCCTGTTGTATCACTAACTCTTTAGAGAGGCACTCTGTAAACTACTAAACACATAAATAAAAGTACACTATTATTAAGAGGGTGCCACACTGTTCTCTTTAAAGAGCAACTTTAATATTAAGAATTTCTGTAGACAGTTATATTCCTTACAGGTATGTAATTTCATGAGTTGCCTGAACCACATGGATTGTGCCCGTTTTTTTTAATCACCCTCACATTTCCTTGTGCATCTCCACAGTCCAGCTCTTCCTCTCCCCAAGTCACTGATAACTAACTGATTTTTATTCACCATTGACCACTCGGCATTTTCTACAATTTTATATAAAATATTCATGTATTTTGCCTTGTGTCTGGCTTCTTTTATTTAGAGCCCTATTCATGAAGTGTGTGTGTTGCCCTGTGTATCAGTATGAGTTTCCTTTCATTCCTGAGGAGGTTCCACTGTATGGCTACGCTTAACCATCTATCTGTTGACGGACATTTGGACAGTTTTCATTCTGGTGCTACTCTGAATTAGGCTGCTATGAATATTCAAATGTAGGTCTCTGTGAAGACAAACAGCTTCATTTGAACTGAATAAATACCTAAGAAGGACATGGCTCGGTCACAGGGTAACACAGGTTTAATTTTGAGAAACTGCTATTTTCTAAAGTAGATTTACATTTTGTTATTCTGTGTGTGTGATTTCAGAACTATCCCATCCTCAGCACTATTTGGATTGGTGCCATTTACACAGTGTAACTGTCCTAATGGCTATGACAACACTGTATGATTTTAGCTGTCAGTGCACTAGCAAATATGAAGGTGAGGAGCCTCTCCAGGCATCTGCTTGTCACATTATCGTGAAGTGTCTTTAGAATCTGTCATTTTCATTCAGTTACTTTAAAAGAATGTACGTGTCCTTTGTCAGATACCTGTGATTGTTTTCCTCTCTCTATCCTGTTACTTAATTTACGGTTCATGGACCATAAAATCCAAACTCTAAGAAATGATTATATACACCAGTATCACAAAGATCTTCTAAGAGTTTAATAGTTTGAAAACATACCACTCTTGGAAAAATATGAAATGCTGTGTCTTATCAACTTGTATCAAAAGTTTTAAAAGATTTATTTTAATTTTATGTGTTTGAGTGCTTTGCCTGCATGTAAGCACACTCCCTGCATGCCTGGCGCCTGAGGGTGCCAGAGAGGAAACTGGAGACCAAACCAGTACCTCTGTAAAAGCAGCTACTTTCTCTCTCTCTCTCTCTCTCTCTCTCTCTCTCTCTCTCTCTTCCCTCTCTCATTTTTCAAGACACGGTTTCTCTGTCTATCCCTGGCTGTGCTAAAACTCATAGGGCTTTGCCTGCCTCTGTCTCCCAAGTGCCAGGATTAAAGGTGTGTGGCGCCACCACTGCCCAGCACAACTACTATTCTTAACCACTGGGCCATCTCTCCAATGCTCTTACATTCAAACTTTAAATGACATGGCTTTAAACAGCACGGTCACTCTGTATTTCAACTTAAAAGTACATCATATTGCTACACAAAAGCTTTCATGTTGATCAGTTTTTTTTTTATACCTTTGTACTTGAATTTTAGTAACAAATATTTCATTTTCAATAAGGTAGCATACTAAAATAAATCCTAAAATTACTTCTTTCTGTGTGTGTGTGTGTGTGTGTGTGTGTGTGTGTATGTGTGAGTATGCCTGTGTGTGTATGCACATGCTTGTGAGTGTCTGGGCTCAGGAGCGCGCAGTGTGGATGACTGTGTGAAAGCCAGTCTAAACATCTTGTTTTTGAGATGAGGTCTCTCATTGGAACTTGCCTACTAGTCTAGACAGGCTTACCAATGATGCTCAGGGTGCTGGTTGGTATTTTCAACTTAACACAAGCTAGAGTAACCTAGCAACAGGGAGCCTCAATGGAGGAATTGCCTCCATCAGATTGGCCAATGGGCATGTCTGTGGGCCATTTTCTTGATTAATGGTATGAGTGTAGGGCCCATCCCACTGTGGATGGATTCTATAAGAAAGCAGGCTGAGCAAGCCATGGGGAGCAAGCTAGTAAACAGCATTCCTCTATGACCTGTTTCGGTTCCTGCCTTAAGCTTTCCTTGATGATGGACTATATTACCTGTCAGCTGAAAGAAATCCCTTCCTCCAAAAGTTGCTTTTGGTCACGGTGTTGATCACAGCAAAAGAAACTTAATTAGGACACCAACAGATCCTCCTGTCTGTTTCCATACTGATTCATGAGGCACCGCACCCAGCTTTTCACATGGAAGGTAGAGATGCAACTCAGATCCTCATGCTCGTATGGCAAATCCTTCACTAACTGAACCATATCCCACGCCCCAACACTTCTCTCTTTAGTATGTCAATGGGTAACATTTAAAAAATTTTAAATACATTTATTAGAAAAATAATTTGATAGCAAGAAACCAAGTGGAACTATATACAAAAAAAGTATATATAAAGCCTCTACTTAGCAGACAGGAGCCTAGAACAAAATAATTGCAATTAAGTATATTTTCATTATGCTCTAAGAACACTGAATTAATATCTGGAAAAGATGAACATGCAAATCCACTTGAGCTATTATGCATGAGACTGTAGACTTCTCTCTTTTATAAACTATCCATTTTTAAAAGCACAAAAATTATGATCAAACTACTGAAAGTCCAAAACAAAGTTGGGCATGGTAATGCACGCCTTTAATCCCAGTACTCGGGAGGCAGAGGCAGGCAGATCTCTGTGAGTTTGATGACAGCCTCTGTCTAAGGTCCAGACCAACCAAGGTCTTTGTCTTGGAGACAAACCATTAGCTGAAAACTGTGCACTTGTTACTTTCTCATTTACAGAAATATTTCGTGATTTTAAGAACTTCTTGAAGAGCTAACTATATAAGCGAACAACTGTTAATATTCCAAAGAAGGTGTAAAGGGAAAAAATAAAATCCAGCTATGAAACTTCATCCAGTATAAATACTCAAAGAAGGTTTTTGGTCATTTAAAGAGACAGGCTTGAAATGTTAATTTACATAATGCATACATGTAAATTAGCTTCAACACAGGAGCATTGGCAATTACAGAGTGAGAACTACCGGAGCCAATTCGATTCAAGGCGTTTCCTTCCTCTTACTTCCCTTCTCCACCCCTGCTCTACATTTTCTCCTTTTATTCCACCTTCTATTCATAGCTAAGCAGTGGCCAAAGGCTGGTCAAGCAACCTAGCATTATGCCCTCTAATGAGGAGGCACCCACAGCTGCTAATGCACAGTGTTGATCATCACAATAACTGCAGAGAGGTGAGCTGCTCTTCATTCCAAGGCTTTTCTCTTTTAATTGGCTAATTCAAATACTACCTCCAAGCATCACAGGTACCCATTAAGTATGTGTCTTACCTTAGAAAGTGCCTCGTCATGAACTACTGTGTTGGTTGTTAAGAGAACAAGTACTGTTTGTAGCAGCTTAAGTTCTTCTAGGCTGTTCTCCATTAGCTGCCAAAGCATGTTAATTATGTTTCCAGCAGCAGTCTGTCAATCAGAAGGTGGAACACAGAGTCAACTCAGATCTGAGAGATGATGGAATATAGTCATGGTAATATTTTTTTCTTACTGTCTATCACCAAATCAGATACAAACAAAATACATTTAATACATTTATGAGCAACATATTGTCAATTCAGATCATCTATACTTTAAAACATGAATTATATGAAATAACTATAATGTGACACTGAAATTGGCTTGATTCTACAATCAGCACCTGCACTAATGAACTATGCCTTCTTAGATGACAAGTAACTCATGAAATGCATTTAATCCTTAATGCTAACTTTATTTTAAATTACTATATTTCATTTCATAAAAGTGCTTTGCAGTTGATATTAGTTGAGCTTCCATCTTCCCCATGAAAGCTGCTGATACGACTCTAAATAGGCAGCTCAGATCAAATCTGTGTCCTACCTCAGACACCACCTCATGTGACATCAGTCTCTGAATGGCGGCCAGACACAGCTGAGTAATCTTCGGCTCCTTGGTCCCACACCCCATCAGGAAAGGCTGCACGACTTCTGAGCTGTTCTCCTTCAGGGCTTTATTCAGAAAACATGGAAGGTAAGTTATTGGATCTATTCATAATTAGGGGTATTTGTCTACATATTTACAACCTATGATGATTCTTTTGATGTAAAATAGCATCCATATAGAAACAAGCAGTGAGAACTCAAGAATTTCATATAGTACAGTCTTTACCTCACCTACAGGCTTCCCAGGCTTTCTCTACCACAGAATTTCAGGGCCTTCCCCATCTGCTACATACTCTTTGAGGACATGGATTCTCACAAGTTTAGAAATCATCATTTCTTCATGTTGTACAGGAGGGAAATTACAAGAATTTGTATTCTAGAGCAGTAAGAATTATTAAAATTATGTACATCATGTCCTCCACAGTTCATTGGGACTCTAGATTATTTGTATATGCTGTGAATGTAGCTCTAATTTCTTCAAGAAACACATTTTTAACAACAATAGCATTACCCTTATTACCGAAAGAGTATTTTAAATTAACTACCGGAATACACAAACTTTTATTCCCAATCTTAATTTAACTTCTACCAACTCTAGAAGTTTTAAAGTAGCAACAAAAATATAGATTACAATACATACAATTGAATTCAGTCAACCAATTAAATTTGTAACATGAAATTAAAAACTTGCTTAAAGGCAAAAAAGACAAAACAAGTTTATCACATTCAGAAAAACTAAATAAATAACATGGAATTCTAAGAAAGAGAACATTAAATGTAGGGGTCTGATAGCTGTTTTCAGGGAAACAAAACTCATAAGCATTTTTTCAAAAGAACTTGAAAAAAGTCATTCATTATCACCATTGAAAGTCAAAAAACACTTCAGCCATTGTTTCTTTCTTGGTGTTTGCAGTACCAGGTATGAATTTGCTCTTATGGAGCAGGCCTCAAATTCAATCAAAGAAGAGTTGATTTCACCCTTAACGGCTGTGCCACTATTGCACAGTTAGGCCTATCCTGCCTGAAAGACCAGCATTGTAGACTGTAAGAGTCACAGCTGGGAGGAGGCTTTTCTTCCCCAGCAGCCTATACAGCACGAAGACAGCCAGCCAGAAGAAAAGCTCCCAGCTCAGGTCCGGCTTGATTTCTTTACATATCACAACCAAATTGTGTGCATTTTCACTATCCGGTGTTATCAACTAGCTCTGGTGGGCAGCCAAAAACAGTGGCAAGAGCTTGTATTGTTTAGGGGCCTCTGGGGACTCCCTGACAAACAGCTCATAAGGAGATTCTCACACCTGGCCCTGGGGTTCTTGTTTAACAGCCCTGGGCTTTTAAAAGCAATATTACTTAAGACATTCAGGGTATCGATCTCCCTTCTCATTCTCACTGATATATTTTTTAATAGATATTTTTATTATATGTGCATTTGTCTTTTGCCATGGATATCAAGTCCCCTGGAACTGGATTTATAGACAGGTGTGAGCTGCCATATGGGTGATGGGAATTGAACCTTGGTCCTCTGGAAGAGCAGTGAATGCTCTCAACCACTGAGCCATCTCTCCAGACCCTCCCACTGATTCCCCCTACCCCCCCAAGACAAGGTTTCTCTGTGGCTTTGGAGGCTGTCCTGGCACTCGTTCTGTAGACCAGGCTGGTCTCGAATTCACAGAGATCCACCAGCCTCTGCCTCCCGAGTGCTGGGATTAAAGGCATGCACCACCACCACCGGGCCTCTCACTGATATTTTTAAGTTGCCTTACAAACAGTAAGTTTCCATATGGGTTTTTCACGAATCCTTAATTTTGGTCAACCCCCAAGTCCTATTCCTGCTTTGGACACCAATCCCCAAATTCCTCATCAGTTTTCATATCATCTATGTTCAGCTACTCTCCCTCCCTATGGCAACTTCCACTCAAATGGGCCCTTTATAGTTTGTTATATCAGAGATTCTCAACCAATGCGTCAAATGACCATTTTACAGGAGTTGCCTAAAACCACTAAAAAACACTGATGTTTACATTACAATTCAGAACAGTTGCAAAATTACAGTTATGAAGTAGCAATGGAAATAATGTTATAGTTGGGGTCAGCACAACAGGAGGTACTGTATTAAAGGATCGCAGAATTAGGAAGGTTGAGAACTGCTGATTTATTCAAATATCTCAGGTTAAACACACAACTCTAAAGATTTGAAGGTAGGATCCCTGAGAGACAGAACATGTGGCATTTCTCTTTCTGAGCCTGGGCTACCTCATACAATACAATTTTTTTCTAATTTCTAGCCATTTACCTGCAAATTTTGGTTAGTTTTTTTATTCCTGTTTTACTTAGTATTTTTGACATTTATTCATTATATAGCACAGTTTGTATTTTTTTACAATAATGTATCCTGTCAAATGAATTTTAGTTTGATATTCTTTCATTTTAAATTATCTTTGAGAATTTCACACATGTATTCAGTGTTTTGCTTTGGTTTTGATAATATCAACCTTCCACTCTCTGCAACTCCTCCCCAATTTCCCCTTTTCCAGTTCCCCTCCCAACTTCACACCCCTTTACATAGACCATGGGGTCAAAGCAGTGCTGTCTTTATGTCCAGGGGGTAGGACCGTCCACCAGAGCATGGGCAACCTAATGGAGACTCTTCCCTCAAGAAAACTGAGTTTGCACAGCAGCTTTCAACTGCCCAAGCCCTTCAGGTAGGGGAGGGCTTCCTGAGTCCCTCCTGTAGCCATGTGAGGTTCCTGACTAGCTTGATCTGTGTAAGTCTTATGGTGATAACCACAGCCACCAAGCACTCATGAGTGCAATGGCCTGTTGTTTCCAGCAGACATTTTCACAACAGCCTGCCCCAACTTCTGGTTCTTACAATACTTATTTCTGAGTGCAGTGGGGAGAGAGTGCGATACATAGGTGTCATTTAGGAAGGGCCATGTCACCGTTACTCATTCTCTGTACTCTGTCTGTGGCCCTCTGTATTAATTTACCTGTAAATTTCATGATTTCATTTTTCTTTACAGCTGAACATACCAGCTACTTAGTTGTTCTAAACCAAACTACTGTTTTGCCTCCCACTAATCCTCACTCTGCTGGCGATGGTTGCAAAGACGCCCCAGCACTTAAGCATAGATGAAATGTGCATGAGGCATCTTTATTTTCTTTGCTAGGCAGTCTGGCATTGGGATGGGTGGGGACTGTGAGGCCAGCAGGGCTGCTCTGCCATGACAGTCTTGTAGTTCTTGGAGGAAATGATGTGAGGGGTCTTAGAGCAGTACCATTTGTTGCAATCAGACTTTCAGCTCCTTGTCACTGTGATCAGGCACTTCTGGAATCCACTAGACAACACACACTTTGCTTTCTTATTGCTCTTACAACCAGTGTTAGGCATCAGGATCTGGCCCCCAAATCTTCTCCATATCTTACTGCCAACAGTTCTGCATTTCACCAGTTACATTTAATTGTGACATACCTGTTTGACTAGTGCCACGTGAACCCTTTTTGACAATGCTGGACATCACAAGGGGTATAAAGGCAACCATGACTGCCAGTAGACAAGGGGGCAGGGAAAATCCCTGTAGTCTTTTTTCAGACTTTATGATCAGATAGACAGTACTGCACATGTATACCCAAATAACACCGGGCTGATTTATGCCTAATGTGTTTGTTAAGCCATCTACCTCTTCACTTGCCAGGCTCAAACCTCTTTAGGCTCTAAGACCCAGCTTTAGATGTCCAAACTTGCTTAGGTGCTTTCCCCTAAGCTACTGTTAACCACCTTTGTATACTTTCATTTTGGCATGTAGTGTAAGTACTACAATACCAGACTGTAATAGATTAATGCATAGCAAGATACTAGGTCCAAAAAAGAAAGAAAAACCCTGTGGGGAGAGGGATCCTATATTTGTTGTTATTTAGTTTTTGTAAAGTAAAGATGACAAAGTTTATGTACTTGAAATAATTGTAACACAAAATTAAAATATTAGAAAAACAAGCTAGAAGCCAGGCAGTGGTGGTATATGCCTTTAACTCCAGCATTGGGAGGCAGAGGCAGGCACACCTGAGTTTGAGGCTAGCCTGGTCTACAGGACAGTGAGGACTACACAGAGAAATCCTGTCTTGAAAAACGAAACAACAACAAAAATAAAACAACAAAACACCACCACAGAGGCAATTTTAAGAGACTCACATTACATGACACAATTTGAGGCCTATACTAAGGGAGGAATTAGTATTCCCATGTAATATGATAAATAATAGTAATCTAAGAAAGGGCAAGATGCTGGCTCTAATTTTAGAAAGTGCATCATCAGGTGTGCACATGGTACACATGCAGGTAAAACAGTCATAAACATAAAATAAAAAAAAAACCTTCTAAGATATCACAAATACACATATTGATAAAACTATACTAAAGCAAACAGGTAAATTATTTGGGGGGTGGGGGTCAAGACAGGGTTTCTCTGGCTTTGGAGGCTGTCCTGGAACTAGCTCTTGTAGACCAAGTTGGTCTCGAACTCACAGAGATCCTCCCACCTCTGCCTCCCGAGTGCTGGGATTAAAGGCATGAGCCACCACTGCCTGGCAGTAAATTCCTTTTTATGTCAGAAAAAAATTTTGAAGAATATTTTCTGGTTGCTACTTAGAGACTATTTAGTTATTTTTTTAAGATTTTATTTATTTATTTATTATGTATACAACATTCTGCTTCCATGTATATCTGCACACCAGATCTCATAACAGATGGTTGCGAGCCATCATGTGGTTGCTGGAAATTGAATTCAGAACCTCTGGAAGAGCAGTTAGTGCTCTTAACCTCTGAGCCATCTCTCCAGCCCGAGACTATTTAGTTATTAAGACTATGTAGACAGGAAAAGATAAGGAAAAACTATGAGAAAGAACACAAATCACAGATAATGATTAAGTTTTTACATGTATACTGACAATAGTTGAAAGCAGCCATGCTAGACGTAACCATTAGGGTTTGGGTTAAGAGTCAGATATATAACTTTTAAAGATACTACCACTTCATAGATTTCCCTGCTAAAAATACACACTAAAAAAAGAATATATGATTTTTAGGTTACACATGCCTTCTCGATTTCTAGTAGTTTGCAATGAAGGATAATAAATAATTTGTAACGCACAGTAGTCAAGGATAGGGTTAAGGCAGTTGGCATTATTGTGGAAGAACTTTAGGTTGTTATATCTTATTCTCAGTGTTCTAAGACAGGAAAAGATAAAGACCTGTGCATCTGGTCAGAGCTGGCGTTACCTGGCATAGCATTTCCACTCATGTCAGCATTCATGACAGCAGTGAAAACAAAGAGAAGTAAGCATTAAAAGAGGATGCTGAGAATGGAGCAAAGATGTAAGGAAGACTGACCCTGAAAAGCAAGCCACCTTTCTCTGAAGCTAAAAACCACAGGTGACAGGAGACAGTGCTGCACACCACTAAGTAGGCTCGATGATCTGAATTCTAGCGTCACCATAGCTCTGCAGTTTCTAAACATAGACAGACATATAAGAATTCAACAATCTGGCTCAGTGGCCTGTCCTTAACTATTTGCAATCTTTGCCATTTGTTGCAGGACAAAATTAGTATCCCATAATCTCAAGTTTAAAAAGAAATAAAAACTTCCCAGGGAATTAAAATATTAAAAATTTTCTCAGTATTAACTGTATTCTGAACTATATACTGATCAGCTATAAGAGCCTTTGGTTTCAAAATGACAAAATATCAATCTATATATATATCTGTAGGTATCAGATGCTATAAACACATGGTTTAAAAATGCTAAGGTGGCCAGGCATTGGTGGTGCATGCCTTTAATCTCAGAACTTGGGAGGCAGAGGCAGGTGATCTCCGAGTTCAAGGCCAGCCTGAGAGAGTGTCAGGAAAGGCTCCAATGTTACACAGAGAAACCCTGTCTCAAAAAACCAACAACAACAACAAAAAAAAAAACCTAAGGTTTAGTTTAGCCAGGCATTGATGGTGCATGCCTTTAATCTCAGAACTTGGGAGGCAGAGGCAGGTGATCTCCGAGTTCAAGGCCCCCCAGAGAGAGTGCCAGGAAAGGCTCCAATGTTACACAGAGAAACCCTGTCTCAAAAAACCAACAACAACAAAAAAAAAAAACCTAAGGTTTAGTTTAAATGCTAATCTTCTTAAATAGATGGCCCTGGAGAACATGAGATCAAAGATCTGTGATGTGAAATATGGCTACATATGTCACAATGAAATCAATAATCCAGCTACATAATAAAGTATCTTATTCTTTAAAAATTGAATTGCATTTATTTACCTGTGTGTGTTTGTGTGTGTGTGTGTGTGTGTGTGTGTATATCCATGCCACAGCACACATATGGAAGTAAGAAAATAACCTGCAATAATTGGTTCTTTCCTTTTACCATGAATCAAAGAATCAAACAGAATTCCTCAGGCTTGGGCAAACACCTTAACCCCCTTAGCCATCTCAATGACTCTAAATTTTTTTATTCTTCCTTAAGCTTAATTACTTAGATATTTCACTCTGCATAGAACACTAGAATCTACAGTGATTCTCTGAAGTTCTTCTATCAGCTATAAGACCAATGGAAACAATTGCTGGAGAATAATTAAGGATTTGTTGTTATAATATAAGCAAAGGTAAATATTTTACAGTGACAACTTGGATTCAACTAGAGTAAGTCTCCAGGTCATAAATTACCTTTAATTTATGCAGTTCCTTACAGAGGCTAAGTCGTCAGCCCAACCAACAGACACCTCCCAAAACCCACGTGCCCACTCTTCCAGTCCCAAACATATTTACCTTCCACATTGCTACCCTCCTCCACACACACATAGAGCACTATTCCCTGAAAGTGTCACAAAACTATTTGGTGTTTTTTACAAACTGTTAAATAACAAGGAAGAAACTGTGGGAAAAAGATACAACTTAGGAAAACTAACCTTAATGGTAAGTTTCCAGTCATGCTGAGAAGCCTAGGGGAGATCTACTCTTGTCAAAGGTCTTTATTTTATTTTGTAATGGATAACATTTCTAAATTAGGAATTCTTAATGTTTTAAATTTCAAGTTTATGTTACAGAGTGTAATATTTAAACCACCTAACCAAGACTGCCTTTCCCATATGCTAGCTGAGATGAAAGGCACAGAGGGAACTGGAAGGCAGTGGGCCTCAGGAAGTTAAAGTACTGGGTAGCCAGTGTGGAAACCCTGAAACAGCAGGGTGGCACTCAGACAAACACCCCAGATTCAGCAGGCATCTTCATCTCTGCATCCTACTCTGCTGAGCCATCAAGTAAGACAATGATACTGTCTCATGAAGACTTTCAGTCCCCACCTCATCCATGCCCATTACAGTGGCAAAGACAGAAGGGGCCACGGAGGAGGAAAGAACAGATGGGAGACAGGAAGCCATGTCATAGAGAAGCTCGAAACCCCTCCTGAAAACCAAGTCCAATAAAGACTGGAAGACACAAAACAGACCAACTCTTTGTGTTCTTGTTCTTCTACCTCATGATGGCAGCCTTGGTCCCAGGACTCAGAATGTATGTCACTACTTATAAACACAGCATTACTTTGTAAACTGGCTCTATTATACAACAGAAACATTCTGAAAGAAGTGTTAAGAACCAACTTGTCAATGAACACAATGCAAAAGTAGCAAGTGATTACTTTGTGTGGGTAATGTGTGTCAGCTGAGTAGTACAGGTAGGGAGAAAGCAAAGAGGAAGAAAATTCTTCACAGGTGCTGGAGGGATGGCTCAAAGGTTAAAAGCACTGGCTGCTCTTCCAGAGGTCCTGAGTTCAATTCCCAAGCAACCACATGGTGGCTCACAACCATCTAGGGATCTGATAACCTTTTCTAGCGTGCATACATGCATGCAGACAAAACACTGTGTATATAATAAATAAATCTTTTTAAAAAACAAACAAATCCAACAACAACAACAAGACAATTCTTCACTCTAAGGAAATGGTAGCTTTTAGACTTCTCATTTGAAGGAATTTTTATGTAATTTTTTTTAATTTTAAAAAAAATTTAGGTTTTTTGAACAGGGTTTCTCTGTGTAACCTTGACTGTCCTGGAATACTCTCTCTGTAGACCAGGCTAGCCTTGAAATCACAGACAGTCGTTGCTTCTGCCTCACAGTGCTGGATTAAAGGTATGCATCATAGTATTCACCTCTGGGAAATACAACCAGTTCACAATAGGCACAGTCACATTTCCTGTATCATGAATAACACATTACGGCACAGGAAGATGATGCTACAAAAAACTGATGGCTTTCTTTAAGGGTTTACTTTAACTATTAGCAAAATTTTCACTAATTACTGAGTTTATATGCAAAAAAATTACCTGCCAAAATTTCGGTGTTTCTTGCAGCTATTGTTTTAACTTTTATTATTCCAGATTCAGCAGCCTGTAGGAACAAAAATAATTATAAAATAAAGCTTATTATAAACATGAATTATGGTGGGAAAGTAAGCACAAAATTAAAAGCACAAATAGTCACTCTCATCTTTATTCTTAAAACAGTAGAAGTCCAGTTTTGGCACATGGATAAAACAACAAAATTCGATCATTTGGATTACTAACATACAAACTGCACTTTACCTGATGCCCTCTTCTGCCTTAAGGCAGACCTGGAACACCTGCGCACTGTACAGATTTCTGTATTCATACAATAAAGCAAACAAAAGCTAACGAGAAGAACCGGATTCTTCTCCTCTTTGCAAGGACCTTCCCTCTCTCCACCTCAAACTGCAAAACCCCAAAATCAAGTACTGTCTTGAACTAATAGGAGCCAATCCTATTTTTTCCCTTTCTATATTTGGATTGATTTCATTTATTTATTTATTTATTTATTTATTTATTTATTTATGCATAGATGAATGCATGCATACATGCATGCGTGTGTGTGTGTGTCTCTGGGGAACCATAGAGGCCAGAAGGAAGCCCTTGGAGCTGGAGTTACAAGTGCTTCTGAGACACCTAAGGTGTGTGCTGTAATCTAAACTCAGGTTATAAGCATACATGAGCATCAGACACACAGACACACATACACACGCAAACTTGGGTGAATGCGCATGCGTGCACGCAAGTGTACACACACACACACACACACACACACACACACACACACACACACACACACACACTGGAAAAAGAAAAAAAAAATCCCTAAATTCAAGGAATCACCAAAAAAGACTATTTGCTGTTTTAGATGTTAATATTAGACCTACTTCATTATTCTCCATTTTTATAACTAAATTATTATCCAACAAAGTACTTGGAATTATTATTCTCATTGATAACTTGTGTTGCTAGAAATTTTTACTAAAAATGTTTATTTGCAAAACACATGTATCAAGGTGCCCTGACTCCAACTACTGTAGTCTTACTTCATGCCACACTAACCCTAGCATACCCTACCTAATCTAGAGATTCCTGTAGAAAATGAGGTCTTCAGAGGCGTCTCCATCTATCTCCTCACACAAGCTTAGAGGTGTGAGGAGAGTGTCTCCCGCTGGGTGTGGTAGCTAACCCTAGCCTCACTGAGCTGGAAGACTGAGGGAGGATGAATGCCAGTTCTGAGCCAGGAAGCCACATTAGGCTGTAAGTGAGACACTAGTTTGAAACAAAACAAAACAAAAACAACAAAAATAAGACTGGAGAAATGGGTGAGCTGTTAAGAGTAGTGGTTATTCAGAACCATGTGTAACTTCAGTTCCAGGAGATACAACTGGGAATGCTTGACCCATTCATGTTATTACATCTATTTTTTTAGTCTAGTATAAGCCCTTATATTACTAATGCTTGCCACACCTCCTTTTAAATAAATGGCTACATAATAATGGTTTCTAAATGAAAAGTTAACATGGTATAGAAATTCAAACTCACTTAAAAGATAGGAAAGAAGAGGGTATTTACTGCCCCACTAAAAGAAAAATCCCAAGAACTCTGACCCCAGATTCACCACTAGATCTAGTTTATTTCTCTGTTGCTCTTGTCTTGGTTCTGGTGTGTTACGTGACACGTTCATCTTCAAGCAGTCTCCAGTCTTAGCAACAAAAATAACTGCAGTTATTCAACATCTCAGGATTCCTGACACTATCTAGAGAGAGCAGAGTTCTTTTGGTAGGTTTTAAAGTAGGAGCTCCCCACCTTTTTAACTAGAAGTATGCATTAGCAAGCAGTATGTGAGCTGTGACACAGAGGGGAGGGATGCGATTTATTTTTAAATGTGCACAATTGTTTTGCCTGCATGTATATATGTGCACCATGTGAATGTTTAATACCTACAGAGGTCAGAAGAGGGAGTTGGAAGCCCTAGAACTGGGCTTATGGATGGTAGTGAACCACCGTGTGGGTACTGGGAAGCAAACCCGAGTTCTCTGTCAGACCAACAAGTGCTCTAAACCACTGAGCCATTTCTCCAGCTCCAAAGTGGAGATTATTCAAACTAGATTAAGCAAACCAAAGCACTCAGTAGATAAGGATCATCTAGATCCAGAAGGTTCTGTGTGAAGAATGTAGACTACCAATGAAGGAAGGCAAACAATGTATATTACAGAAGGAATGAGCATGCCAGTTACTAGAACTACTACAGGTTAATCTTTTTAAGGGTTATAAATCAGGCATGGTGGCACAAGTCTACAACCCCAACAGAAGGGGGATGGGAGCAGGAGGATGGGGAGTTCAAGGCCAGTCTGGAATACATGAGACTGTTTCGAAACCTGAAAACAAACAAGTGGCTTTAAATGTTGCTTCCTATCATGAAAGCTCATGTTTCTGCTTTTAACAAATATATATGTTTTGTAAATCATGAGAAAAATAATCTAAAATTAGAACAAAATGTCAAAATTCCAAATTCATTATTACTAGAACACAGCTCTGAAATGAAAGTTAAGAAAAAAATGTGAAGTTTAATTTACTGTCAACTTAGATGATAAAATGTATTCATGAGACATATAGGAAGTATGGGGATGCCCTAAAGACTTTTTCCATGTCTGGTAAATGCTAAGACCCAAAGTCAAATACACACTTGGGAGTACTGAAAAGATATAGAATATCCCTTAAAGGAATGTGCTCATAAAAGAATCACTACATTGAAACCAATAAAATACTCTTCCAATGAATACAACTATTCTACAACAATGGTTCCAAAAACCACATTGACATTTCATTCTAAGTTCATGGTTTCTAAGGAATAAACTTTAATATGTAAAATGGAAGACTGGAATGCAGGGAGCATGTAGATGGTTAAAAATATTCATGTGGATGTCTTTCTCTTTGCCATCCTAAAACTTTAAGCTTCAATAAAGGGTCTATTCAGCACATCCTCCTGGCTCTACAGTTCTATGCCACACTGGCTAGAAAGACAGATATGAAATGGAGATCCTTCAGGATTTATTTATAAAAGAGGGGGCAAAAACTCAAAACTACAATAAGATAACATGTAAGAGTTATAGGACATAACTTATGCAATAAGCTTAACTTTAAAAGAAAAAAGCAGAGAGAAAGCACACTAGACAAACAAGCCTGCAAGTGAGCCCGGGCAGGAGCTTTTTTCCCCAGCAGCCAGCTCCCATTCCGTACACAGTTAAGTGTTTAAAAATTATCCTCATGAATGAATGAATAAATGAGGAAAGAAATCAGAAAATTACCTGTGAATTTAGTTCACTTAAATGATAAATGGATTGGGAAGTATTTGGGGTGGGACTAACACAAGACAGAATTCTAATTGGCGGTGGGGGTGGGGGAAGGAGTCAATTCCACAACAGTAACAGTAACCTCAGCACTGTCAGCATGAAAGGTGGAGGCAAGGGCACCTCTGAGGACTTCATTTAGGCAGCATCATCACTGCCTAATTAAAGTGGGTAAGGATGAGGAAGCCAGTGAGGAAAGTTAGGGTATGAAATGCTATCCTAAGAAAATAACCACATGGTAGCAACCGAAAGTTTTTAGTGAGTGCTGAGTGTGCTGCTTTAATTTACTTACATTATTGATGTGCATCAAAAGTCAGACATGATGTTAAAACTTGGTGTGGAGTAGTACATGAGAAACTCCAGAAAGCAGCAAGAGGGAAAAGACAGCCAGGCAGGAGTAGGATAAGCAACAGTGACATGCTACCTACCAATAACATGTCAAAGGAACAGGAAGAGAGGGTTGTTTTTAGCAAAGCATAGTTCAATGACAACACATTCCATCTGAACTATGTGGGAGATATTCTGGTAAAGGTGTTACACGGGCTAACGGAAACACAGATCTAAATTCACAACCAAACCAGAGTGCATGACACAGATGAAGCCACTGGTATCGTGTTAAGGCCAAAAGCAAGGGAAGTCGGCGGTACACAGGGAGGAGTGTGAAGAAAGGTTGGAAGATGAACCAGGATACACTCACACATAAAGGAGTCCTGACTCCTGAGAGAGGAGACACAGGAACAGTGTGCAATAAAAATCAAAAGGAGAAAGCTTCTTCGAGGGGGGAAAGAAGGGCCAGAAGCAGTGAGTAATGATGTGGACAGGTAATGGGAACTGTGGCATTTGTAGGATGCAGTAAGGGGAGAGAGGACTTAGAGATGAGTATACAGGGGGCCACATCCAGTCCCTCCACACCCCGGCTTACTACTTTATTGAGCCCCTCTAAACCTCCTCATACGTAAAATAAGTGATTTATTTTATTCTCTTCTCTTTGAGACAGTGTCTTGAAACTATGTACATCAGGCTGGCCTCAAACTCAGAACTGCTTGCCTCGGCCTCACAAGAGCTGTTGTGTGTGGTCACACTACCCCGGCTACTTTTCCTTCTGAGATGGAATGTTGTTACATAAAAAAAAGGCTAGATTCTAGGTGTACCTAACTATAAAATATTTAAAGTGGTATGTTAAGATGCAAAGGTTCCTACACTGTTGTAAAGGCTATATTTTATTTAATCAAGTTAACTTCATGAAAATAAAAGGTAGTGTCTCTTTTGTTTGTTTTTTGCCATGTTTTGTACCCAAGAGACTAATAAATTGCTCTACACTGTAACTATTAGCACAATCTACTTTGTACTTAGTTAAAAATAAGCTATGTCACAGAAGAGAGAAAATGGACTCAGGATGATTTTTAAGTCATAGACAGCATCTTTTATTTCTGTGTCATCAAAGCACAGTGCCATTAAGTAATCAACACAATGCAAATACTTATGAGAGAAAGAACACCCACCAAGGGGGAAATAACAGTACACTAAAAATACTAGGCCCAAACAGCTCAACCAAGCACGGCTAGATTACCCAGCCTCCATTCGTCACCGTGAAATGGTCCTGAAAATGAAGTCTAAATCCACTCAGAGAGCCAAGAACCTTAGCCTCAGATCCCAAATAAAGGAACAAACAGAAAATCCTCCTGTGGCAATAGAAAGCATTCTATCACCAGGTCTTTAGCAGCCACCAATTGACAAAGAACAAAAACTCTGCACTGGAAAACTCCGCCACAGGGAACCTCTGACTTAGACAAAAACCTTCGCCAAGTTACCATTGAATAACAGAGAGATTGAAAGTATACAGCCTGGAAACATGACTTGTAGTTTATGCTCTACCAATTCTGTGCTAGTAAAAAGAGAGAAGTCTGAAAGATGGCTCGTTGGAAAGGTGCTCATCACCAGGTCTGACAATCGGAGTCTGCCTGTATGTGTATCTTGTGTGCCTGGCGCCAGGGAAGGCTGAAGAGGGCATCCCATCGATCCCCTTGAATTGGAGTTAGAGAGTTGAGAGTCATCATGGTGTGCTGGGAATCAAACCCAGTCCTCTGGAAGAGCAGCAGTGCTCTTAACCACTGAGCCATCTGTCCAGCCCCAATTAAGAATCATTCACTCAGCAAATCCTTATGGAACATGAACCATACACAAGGTCATCTATCAGACACAATCACAAGATTCTTGCCATCACTGCAAAGCCTAGGAGCAATTCTTAGGGAGCTATCTGGCCAGTGAATTAGTAAAAATGAATGTGCTTCAATGAAAGTGTCAGGATTAGGAATGGAGTAAATTCTAGAACTTTGTAAGCTACCTGTTGGAACTTTGAGGGTTTTTTTTTTTCCTCCAAATAACAAATAAGGTATCAATTA